ACATTAAACAATCTGGTGATAAGCATATTGATGATTATACTGATGTTGTGTTGCTTAATGCTATTCCTGACTCTTATAATGATGTTAAATCTGCTATTAAATATGGTAGAGATGATGTCACCCTTGATATTATTGTGAATGGCCTTAAGAGTAAAGATCTTGACCTTAAACATAATAGGAGTATTTCTAGTCAATCCAAGGATTCTGGTGAGGCTATGTTTGAGAGGGGTAGATCTAAGAGTAGGTCTAAGAATCAGAAACAGGATGCCCAAGCTAAAAATAGTAACCAAAATGGTAAGAAGAGGAATAAGTCTAGAAAACGTGTGTGCTACAACTGTGGTAATTCTGGACACTTTATTAAAGATTGTCCCTATCCCAAGAAACCTGAGTAGGCTAGTGTAGCTATAGAGAGAGATGACCTTGGTGAGGTTCTCATGGTGTGTGATCATGTTAATTCTGTTCGGAATACCTTGACTGAGCATGAATGGTTGATTGATTCTGGTTGCACCTATCATATGACTCCTTGGGACTTGTTTTCTAAATATGAGAAATGTGATATGGGCTATGTTTCCTTGGCTGATAATAAGAGATGCAATGTTCTGGGTATAGGTGATATATGTCTTAAGTTTTCTTGTGGCTCTGTGTTTACTCTCAAGAATGTGAGGTATGTCCCTGATTTGTGTCACAACTTGTTATCTGTTGCTGCCTTGGAGGGTAGTGGATTAGAGGGAAAGTGGGGGAATGGTTGTATGAAAATTTTGAAAAATTCTCTGGTGTTGTTTAAAGCTGAGAAGGTGAACAACCTTTATGTGTGTCATGCTAAACCTTACATTGACTCTGTGAATGCTGTGAATGTTGTGCATACTGATAAAACCTTGTTGTGGCATAATAGACTAGGGCATATGAGTAATAAAGGTTTAGGGATCATGCATAAACATGGTTACTTTGGTAAAGACTCTGTGAACTCTTTGACTTTCTGTGAATCATGTGTTCTTGGTAAACAACATAAAGTCCAATTCCCTCTATCCTCTTATCCTAACATGACAAAGTGCTCCTCTGTGCTTGAATATGTGCATGCTGATGTTTGGGGTCCTGTCAGTGTTCCCACACATGGGGGGAAACAGTATTTCTTGTCCTTAATTGATGATTTTTCTAGGAAAGTGTGGGTCTACCTTCTAGAACATAAGTCTGATGTTTGTGAGAAGTTTAAGGCCTGGAAGTTACTTATAGAAAATCAAACTGGACAAAATGTTAAGACCCTTAGGACTGATAATGGCCTAGAGTTCTGTAACCATGAGCTTGACCAACTGTGTGTCACTTCAGGCATTAGGAGACATAAGATCGTTCCCTACACCCCCCAACAGAATGGGGTGGCTGAAAGGATGAATAGAACCCTTCCTGACAAGGTTAGAAGTATGTTGTCTACCTCAGGTTTACCTAAGAAGTTTTGGGGTGAAGCAGTTACCACTGCCACCTATCTGATAAATAGATCTCCCTCTGTTCCCATAGGGGGTCAATGCATTGAAGTTAAGTTTACTGGTGGCCCTCTTCACCTGTCAAATCTTAGGGTCTTTGGGTGTGCCGCCTATGTTCATCAGAAAACTGATAAGTTAGATCCTAAATCCAAAAACGTGTGTTTTCTTGGGGTATCCTGATGGGGTAAAGGGATATAGGCTGTGGGATAGAAGTGTGCCTGGTTTTAAGGTGGTTATAAGTAGGGATGTAATCTTCAATGAGTTTGATTTCCCTTGCTCGCTTAAAACTATTTCTAAGCATGAACCTGAGAGGACACATGTTGAGGTGGAGCCTCAGGTCCCTTCTGTGCCTACTATTCTTTCTGTTATGTATGACACTCCTCCTTTTGTACCTGTCATCCCTTCTGATGTGCATGTTAATACTTCTGGTGATACTGCTACCTCCAGTGAGGTGGAGTTCAATACTCATGATGACCATGTGCATAATGATTCTGTGTCTAGTGGAACCAATGTGTTTGATGATTTTGCTGAGACTGATGATGTTGATTTTCATGACTACTAACTTGTTAGGGATAGGGGTAGAAGAACCATTAAGAGAAAATCTGATACTTTGTCTGACTATGCTTTTACTGCGTGTGCTATATCTGATTTTGCTTTTACTGTGTTTGAGGCCCTAGACCTAAATGAACCTAAGACCTATAGTTAAGCTATAAAGTCCAGAGAGTCTCAGAGATGGCTTGAGGCCATGAAAAGTGAGATGGACTCTCTGAGAGTGAACCATACTTGGACCCTTGTTCCTAGACCCGATGCCAACTCAGTAGTTGAGTGCAAGTGGCTGTTTAAGGTCAAGGAAGAACCGGGTAACAACATTAGGTATAAGGCTAGGCTTGTTGCCAAGGGGTTTACTCAAAATAGGGGGTAGATTATGTAGAAATCTTTGCTCCTGTAGTTAAGTTTACTACTGTTAGAATCATGTTGGCTTTGGTTGCTCACCATGACTGGGAGATGAAACAAATGGATGTCACCACTGCATTTTTGCATGGTGAATTGGATAAGAAAATTTACATGACTCAACCTGAGGGCTTTGTGGATTCCAAGAGGAGTGACCATGTCTGTCTGCTTAGGAAGGCCTTGTATGGCCTGAAGCAATCCCCTAGGTAGTGGAATATTAGGTTTGACAAGTGTATGCAGTCTATGAAATTTGTGAAATCTGTCTGTGATCATTGTCTTTATTTCAAGAATACTAAATCTGTTCCTGTGTTCTTGTTAATCTATGTGGATGACATGTTGATTATAAGCCCTTGTCTTAAATCTATTATATTTGTTCAAAAATGCATTTGTGAGAATTTTGCTATGAAAGATCTTGGTGATGCCAAGAGGATACTTGGGATTAACATTGTTAGAGTCAGGAGCAAGCATACTCTTGTTCTAAATCAGATTTCATATGTTGAGAAGGTTTTGAGTAAGTTTAATATGTCTTTTGCTGCACCTGTGCATGTTCCTCTTGCCTCTCAATTTGTGCTAAGTAAGAATCAGTCTCCTAAGACTGCTTCTGAAATTGAGCTTATGGAGTCTGTTCCTTATTCTAATGCTATAGGTTCTGTGATGTATCTGATGGTTAGTTCTAGACCTGATATTGCCTATGCTGAAAGCGCAGTGCTTGAGAGAATCTGCTCTCACGGTTAGGGAGAGTACCTCGGGTACTCCTCCAATTTTCTTTTGGGAGTATTTTTTGTATCTCCAATTTGTTTGCCAGTTATGTTTTTTGGATATCACTGGTGACCCAGCGATGATGAACCACGTGCTCATGTTACTTTGTGATACCTTGCACCACCAATGATGACCAATAAGGTGGAGAATGTGGAGGTATTGGCCCATAAGACCTTGGCAATCCTTCTCTCCTTGTGTGGGCTTGTTCGCTTGCCTCTTGTTTCGACCCATGTTGTTTTCTCGTTAGCCTTCTTCTGGAACCCTCTATTAGGGTTCCATGTGATCCTCGGTATTTAGGCCCTCTTCGTCTTCTCCTTGACGTTGAGGTCTTCGGTTAGAGAGAGAGTGAGGTTAGAGAGATAGAGAGAGAGAGAGAGAGAGAGAGAGAGAGAGACTCCCAGTCTCTTCTCTTTCCGGTCCCTTTGTGTTATTCTCTCTTTGCTTCCCCTTTTCTGACCTTTGGCGTGCGTTGAGATGGCTAGGCTGGCCTGAGTGTGATTGTCCCTTCCGATGGTGCTTTGTTGTGTGCTGTATGAGCGTGGTCTGAGCTGGAGAGGTGAAAACCTGACAGGTTTGGTGCACGCTGATCGCTCTTCTCCTTCGGCTTGGAGGAGCAATGGCGAAGTAGGTGATTCAAGGATGGTAAGAGATGGCTTTTGACTTAGCTGTGACGTCCAATTTTAGAGTTTCAACAAATCATCCGTGGAGGTCTCTTACATATGTAATTTTTTTTAACGAGGCTCCGCTAGATTGGAGCGACACAGGGAGAGGCTAGGCGTGGCTGAGTGTGCGCTCTACAAATGATTTTTTCCTGGAAACTCTAATTATATGGCCAGAGGTCTGGCTGGCACGGAAGCACCATAAATGGGGAAGCATCATATATGGCTTTCCCTTGGTCTTATGGGTGATGGTTTGCGCCCCCCTGAATCGTTGCTTGGGAGTGAACGAGTGGTTAAGGTTTGGGAGAAAATGTTTCAAGGATGCTACTAAAACGGGACTATGTGGAGCTCCTATCAAAAGTTATTTTCTCTCTTAGCTTACTTTAGTTTTGCGTTTTATTCTGTTGTTTGGTTTCTCGTTAAAGTCTATATTGTTAGGTTTGTCGGGATGATTGGAAATTTAACTTATTATTGTCGTTATAATTATACAAATCTATAGGACCAGTGATAGTTGTGTCAAACCCAACATTATTAGTGATTCGTTTTGCTTTTTCAGGGGGGATTGTTTCTATGTCTAATCGACAGTCGTACTTAATGGAGATTAATTAGTGTCATGTATGATTTTTCTTTATTTGATGTAAAGATCGAAAGTAATGATTTCAATATAGGGCGATTTCATTTGAAAAGAAGTTTGGGAAAATGGAAACTATTAATCCAACCTTTTAGCGGTTTTCTTACAATAGTCTCACCTTATCGTAATTTAGGAATAATCCAATCTTTACACCTCATCTTCATTCGTTGGTCCCTAACCGGTTGATGGTCTGATATTTCAGGTATTTTCATTGCAAATCATAAAATCATAAATCTCACCTTCTACAAGTCTTCTCGAAACGGTCCCATATATGACTTTTATTTTTTCTTCCTAAAAATTTTCTTTCCTTTTTATGTATTCTTATTTGGAAAGTTTTTCTAAAATTACTTTTTATTAATAACCCAGAATAAACCAACAAATGAAAATAAGTATAAAATAAGCCCCCCCAAAAGTTTTTACAAACCTTCCCTAATCTAGTTCATACGGGCCTGCCTGACATATGCCTACGCAACATGACCCGTCATCTTACCAAGACTACATGGAAAAGTTATTGTTGCTTGAGAGTGGTTACTTTATGTAGAATCTTGATAGCGAAAAAGGAAAGTCTAGTTGTGCCATTGCTTGTTTGTGAAGATTTGTTTGAAGATGGTTGTGATAAGTATACCTAATTAAAAAAATTAGAGACAAAGTCGAAGTCAATGGCGGAATATGATCAGATTTAAATAAAGGTGAAAATTGTCAATGGCGGACAACGGGAAGAGAGAAGCGGGCCGAGTGCTGTAAAATAAATAAAGGAAATGAAGGGGAAGCATTCGTTTTGCTTTTCTCCCGGGGAAATTCCAACTGCAAGAACAATAGAATAGTAGGTGTGAAGAAAGAAATTCTTGATTCTTCAGTTTCTCCGATCAAAGCCCCCAACCCAATCCTACGCCGTCCAAAATCCACTCTGCACCCTCGCTCTTTTACATCGCAATCCTCCTCACCAGATTCCCCAATTCATCTTCCTCCCCACAAGCCAAGAATCTCTTTCTTCCCCATAGATTCTCTTTCTACCTCAAAAAGCTTATTAATGATGCCCTTCTTCATCTCCCCCACTCTTTCTCCGTTTCCTTTTATCCCTACTCTTTCTTACCTTCCGTCCCTTACTTCTTTTCATTCTTGGCCGCCATTTTCTTCTTCTTTTTCTTCTATTCCTCCATAGCATTTAGCAATGTCTTCTTCGACTACTGTCAACCACCTATCTCAGCCTTGCATTTATGGTAATTGTCCTAAATCCTAATAAAGTTTAAATCTTTTTGCGATTGGGCACCTACATTTATTCATTTTGGGGCTTGAATGTGTAAAGATTGGATTTTTATTTGGGGGGGTTTAAGCAGGGCATGTTGTTTCTTCATACTCAGAGAAAAAATCAAGCTTTATGAGATGGATGAGTAAGATATTCAAGGGTAGTTCAAGTAGTGGCGGGGTACTTCCTGCTAGGATGCCACCTCAGCCTACAGGAGATGAAACTTCTGTTTTGCGCGCTCCTGTTAGATCATTGGTATTTGCTATGCTCTCTGTTTTTTTAGCTTTTTAAAATCCTGCTCTTCTCTTTCAGTTTTGAGTATATTAGCATAGAATTCTGTTCGGCAGATTTTTTGAGTTGAGAAGTCACATTCTTGTCATTCTTGATTTGCTTTTTCTCTCTTAGGACGAGGTGTAGGGCATGTCAATCTTTAGTTATATCTGCAAGATTAAGGGCTCGTTTCGTAACTAATATATGGCTGTAATTTAATATGATGTAATGGCTGAATGTGCTGGTTTTTCTAGAAGTTAAAGCATACTTTTAAGTTTGTATTCTGCTTAATGTCACAATAACCTGGCTAAAGTCCAGATAATTTTTTCAATGGAGTAATTTGAGTTTGCACCCCATTCTATTGTCGAAATTGGACATTGCACCCCGTTTTTAAAAAAAATTGTTTTTGCACCCCAACCCCTTATGAAAAGATGCAAAAACAAAGATTTTTAAAAACGGGGTGCAAAGTCCAATTTGGACAATAAAATAGGGTGCAAACTCAAATTACCCCTTCTTCTGAACGGGCACTAAGGCTCGGTGGATTGTGGTTAAAAGTTGTTTTCTTTATTTTTATCTTATAGGATGATCGTTGTAGAACCGATAAAGAGGAATTAGACCGTGCTGTTGCACGGCCTCTACCCCAAGATTTGAAAAGACCAAATGGTACATGTTTATGTCGTTTTTCTTTTGCGTTAACATATACACCACTTTATCCTATGTAGTTCTCTTGAAGAGTTTTGATTTGCATGTTTGTCAGGATACAAATGGAAAGAGAAGGATGACCTTATAAAGTCTCTTCATGATGGCCTTAATTCTTCATCATGCCCCCCGTATGCCCCTCCATACGCTGCCCCGAAAGACTATCATCCAAGGAGCAATAGGTAATCTTTACACAAAAGTTCATATAATGCTTCTTAGGCATTTTTTCTGTAATAAGTCATTTTAGAGATGATTCTTTCTGTTCCTTCAGAGTATGTGGTGGCTGCCGCCAGGAAATTGGCCATGGAAACTACTTGGCATGCATTGGGACTTTCTTTCATCCTGAATGCTTTCGTTGTCATGCCTGTCGTTATCCAATCACAGAACACGAGGTATTCTGTTTTCATTTTATTTGTTGTGGTGCAAAAGATAATTACTTTTGTAAAAATCAGTTATTTTGATGCCTCTAGCTCCTTTTCTCACCTATTGATTTCCTTTGTTGATTCAAGTTTTCTCTGTCAGAGAAGAAGACATACCATAAGTTGTGCTTCAAAGAACTCACACATCCTAAATGTGATGTCTGCCATCGATTTGTAAGTATATTACACTTCTGTGTTTTTAGTCCAAAGTTGGGCTATAATGCGTAGTATGTGTAAATCTGAGGCTTTCAAAGATTGAATCCAACCAAATGTCTAGTTGAAGGCATAGCCTTATAACCCCAGCCCTTTCTACTAAAAATATATTACAACAACAACAACATTACCCCGATGCCGCAAAGGCTCCACCTATGGTGGGGTAAGGGGGGGTCGGATGTATGGAGCCTTACCCCTGTACTAAAGCACATAGAGACTATTTCCATAGGATCCATGATGAAAGTCGCGTCGAAAATTGAATGGACTGACTGCTGCTTAGTGAGCCTTTTTGTTTCATTCCATCGTATTCCGAAGCCAAAAAATGGTGAGTCTTTGGCTCCATTGGAAATGATGGAAAAACTAAAAATATATTACAATCTATAATATCATCTTTCATTTAAACCATCTTTTCCCCTAAGTGAGCTAATTCCATTGCTTGATTTTGGAATTATGATCTGCATTAATGTTCTTAGATCCCCACAAATGGTGCTGGCTTGATAGAGTATAGGTGCCACCCGTTTTGGTCTCAGAAGTATTGCCCTTCACATGAGCATGATGCCACTGCACGATGCTGCAGCTGTGAACGCCTAGAGGTAGGATGCACCTTAAGTCTATTTTTGGCAGAACAAGTTCATACATTAGCTGATAACTGACTATCTTGATTACAGCTAATACTTACTTTCTATATTCTCTTTTTATTGCACTTTTACAGTATTTCACTATTCATGTACCTTGCTTTGACCTTTTTTTGTACTATTGCATCAAACATATCATTTTATATATCTCAAACAGAACTAGTTCTAATAAAACTTCGTATATAATGAACTACATCAATGGTCAAAGTGACATACGTGAAAGTCAAATGGCTGCAACTCGAAAAAAGAACAGAGTTTAATATAATTCATACCTGATAAGTTAGCTGATTCATATTCTGTTTGGTAAAACTTTGGTGATAAGCTAGACCAAAAAAAATCAGAAATATAAAAATGACTTAAAAGGTGATTTGAGTACTTTTTAAAATAAAGAGGCTTAAATGTAACCAAATTCATAAAATGTGTTAACTTACTTGAAGAGCTACTCCATTAAACTTATTTGAAAAGCCTTCTTTAAAAAAACCAATATTGTTTGTAATGCTTTTATTTTTCATGAAGTCGTGTGGGATGCAAAATAAATGTTTGTAATGCTTTTATTTTTCATGAAGTCATGGGATGCCAAATATATATCGCTTGAAGATGGGCGAAGGTTATGTTTGGAGTGTATGGAATCTGCCATCATGGATACTGGGGACTGCCAACCGTTGTACCATGCCATTAGAGATTATTACGAAGGCATGAACATGAAGATTGATCAGCAAGTCCCTATGCTTCTTGTTGAAAGACAAGCCCTTAATGAAGCTATAGAAGGGGAGAAACAGGTATACACACCTGTTTCTTCTTCTTCTTCCTTCTTTTTGTTTCTTGTTTTTTTGTGGAAATAAATTGTAACTTGGGGGAAGAAATATATAAATATAGGGGTTCCATCTGTTTCCTGAAACCAGGGGTCTATGCCTATCCGAGGAGCAAACTGTTACCAGTGTATGATTCATAAATTAACTTTACCCATCTATTTTTACGATTTTTTTTAAATCTCGGCTGAGTGATTTTTGTTATTATCATGTAGGTACAAAAAGGGCCAAGAATGGGAGGTCGTGGCATGGTAGGAGTGAGAAAACAGCCACAGAGACTGATCCGAAAAAGTGAGGTTACAGCTATATTAGTTTTATATGGTCTCCCAAGGTAATTCTTGTACTGGTTTCCACTTCTAACATAGAATGGAATGGAGACTTTCAATGTGATCCATCTCATCTTTCATGGTGCAGATTACTCACCGGAGCCATACTAGCACATGAATTAATGCATGCATGGTTACGCCTTAAAGGTACTAAATCTCATTAAGAGGTTGTTTGGGATGTCACATTATTTGCGAATGTTAGATTGGAGGAGATGTGTTTGCTTGAAATAATTGGAATGTAAAATGAATGTGTTTGGTACTTGGTTGGAGGTTATCTTATCTAATGCACTTAAGATGTTTTTACTTGAATTGATTTCAGTTCCAGACCAAACTTAAACAGATCAGACCAGACCACCAGACCAAACTTCGACAGTTATAAAATAGACATAGACTAGACATTTACTAAATCAGACCAGAAAATTTCGGTCAAAGTGGTAGTAAATTTTTACCATTTACTTTCGTAATTTTAACTCTGTTTTCGCTCTTTCCACTTGGGGTGACCAATATTCCAAAAAATGTGAAGTCAAAGTGTAAACTTCATTAAGAACCGGAGGGAGTACTAAATTACTAATAAAATAGTAATTGTATCTGGGACAAAAGGCTTACCACTCGGCTACTCCATATTTACTTGATACTATAACAACATTGGTGTTATTAAATGCTAAATAACTCATTAGCAATTGTATCTGGGACAAAAGGCTTATGTGATTAATGCCAATGGAATCTCCGATAAAGCAAACCAAACATCAAATAAATACATAACAGTCTAAGATGTAGCAAACCAAACCCCCGAAGTGTGTGATACTGAGAGGTTAGACATTATACTCCTTTTGAAATCTGCAGGTTTCCGCAATCTGAAGACTGAAGTGGAGGAAGGAATATGCCAAGTGCTGTCTCACATGTGGCTCGAGTCAGAGGTGATGCCTGGGCTCAGATACATGCCATCAACATCAGCAGGCCCATCCTCATCAACATGGGGCCTATCATCGTCTTCGTCATCTTCGAAGAAAGGTAAAAAGTCTGGGAATGAGAACAAACTGGGAGAGTTCTTTATGCATCAGATAGCTCACGACACTTCGCCTGCATACGGAGAAGGATTCAGAGCAGCTAATGAAGCTGTGAATAAGTATGGTTTGCGAAGTACCTTGAATCACATTTATTTTACTGGAAGTTTTCCCTGTTGATCTAAACCAAACCAAACCAAACTTTGCTATCTCAATCTGTTCTGCTTGAGTCACGTTAAAAGGAACCAACCTCAAATGCTTTCTCTTCAGGGCTGAGTTACAATCATGTGTGAAAAGCCCTATTCGCTCCCCCCTGTTTTTACGGAGGTCCTTTGAGGAATGATACCAGAAAATATACCCAAACACCTCCCCCCCCACCCCCCACCCCCCACCCCAAAAAACACTGTCTGGTATAAAGAGGTTGGCATATTCAACATCAATAAAAGAAAGTGACACTCTTTGCTACTTTGGATTACAAGTCGTTATCTGCATTATATGCACTTTACAAGCAGGAATTCTTGGAATGTTCCCACATTTAGGGAATGTTTCAGAAACCTTTGGGTAACTACTCAAAAAATGTTTTAAATGGTTGATTTCCCTTTGTTAAATGAGCCTTTCCTCCTGTCATATTTAACTCTACAAAGTAAAATGAGACATTTCTTCCTTGTCATGTTTCCATCCATTCCAATTCTGTGGGAGTGGTCTTTGGAGTTGGGCTTGACCAAGTTTTAGGTTTGAAGGGAGAAAAGTTACCCGTTTTATTTTAGAGTTCCGCTTCGTGTACACGCCGGTTACATGTCGATGTACATGTCTGTCAAATTGTTTGTGTACATATAATTTTTTGTGTCACGGACAATTATCTATACACAGACAATGGAAAATTATTTCTTCATAAAGCGCCAGTCAAATTGACCGGTGACGTGTACAAACTGCCGTGTACAAAAGGAATTTTCCTATATTTTATGCTTGTTTTTATTTTTGGCACTTCATCCCATTTTACCCATCTTTATTTGTTTTATCAGCGCCTCACATGAGTCACATGACTCACATCACCCACTTTTCTATCTTTTCCACTTTCCTGAACTCATATGATAGGAAAATTGTGGAAGAAAAATTTGGCTCCATAATTTGGAGTGCAAGTAAGGCAGACTGGCAGAGCCTACTTTTGCCAAAAAAAAAACTAAAAATTGGAAACAAATATCGGTAGGGAAGAAACTACAAATTCGGATATGAAACAGGACATTTCTTCTTCATAAAGGCTCTGAATTTCAAGATCCCAGTTTTTTTAAAATAAACATTTGAGATTTATATACAAATATTCCACGGTCAACAACACATTCAAAATGGACACAAAGGGAGAGGAGTAACACCACTAATGATCGGGGAGAAAAGGCAGAGGAGGGTGTAAATGTGTAATCTCAAATTCTTAATTTTCGATAATGGAAACATAATTAGGGTGAGGGAAATTTTATTTTATGGGTGGGGCATTTTATTATGTTTCCCCGTTAAAAAGGAAGTAACTCCACTATTAAGGAAGAAAGGTGAGACCACTACATTGGAACAAAGGAAGTACCCCAAACAGGTTGTGACTTGTGACCAAAAGCTATCTTAAAGGCTCAAACAAAGATCAATTATAAACTGAAGCGTGTTGCCTTTTTCAACTTGTTTTTCAAACATAGAAGAATCCCATACAATGTCAGCTATCCAAGAATGTGATTAGTACAGCAGAGAACTAGACCTTTTTTATGTAAAGAAACAAAAAAAACGTGAAGAGCAATGCTTACACATTTGAGGCTTCATCACCTTCAACTGTTCTCTCCAGATACTACATACTATATATGCAACAATAAGCTCTCCAGGAAATTAATCATTTGACCAATTCCAATAATGTGATGTGTAATAATAATAAGCCCCCCCCCCCCCCCCCCCCAAGTAAATAAACTATCCCTCGTATTCTATAGGCAGAGGCACATCCTCTTGTTTTCTGGTAAATGACCACCGTCATGAAGATATATTCGACAGAAGCTGCTTCACTTTTTCTGAAGATGTGTTTGAAAGAATATCCTTCACTTTCTCATATGTCATAAAAACAATGCCAATGCTGGGGACAACTTTGTAATATTCTGGAAGGATTCCTCTATATAAACCACGCACCCCTTCTGTGTTGATTATGTGTCGAAGTGTACCAAAGAGACCGTTCTTGTAAACACGGGCTCGACCCCCTGCCCCTTCCAACTGCATTCTTCTCCTCACAAGATCCAGAGGGAATGTCACTAAATAAATTTATACACAGAAAATGAAATTTAGTCTCCAGAAGCAATTTTTTCTATTAGCATGCAAAACAAGGTAACACACATTATCTGTGTCAATTTATACGCTTCCTCAATTCAAGTATGAATATAGTAGTACCTTTTCAAGCACCATCTAAATACTCTAAGGATCAAAGTTGTCATGACAGCTAGGCAACGCGCAGCGCCAGCTTACAGCCTAAGCATTTAGACGCCGGAATAGGCAATAATAACTAGGTGATAATTAGCTAAACTTGATATTTAACATAAGTTATACAATATAATACTCTCTCCGTCACATTATAGCAGTCTTACTTTCCTTTTCGGGTTGTCCCAAAATAAGTTTCACGAAAGAAATATGTGGTCCATAACATTTCATTTTAGGGAAAAGTACGGAAAAGATACTTGTGGTTGGGTTGTTTTCAGATAGGGTCATGTGTTTCATTCTTTATCAAAGTAGTTCATGTGTTTGAATTCCGTTATCACAAGAGGGTCACGCCGTTAAAAACGTTCGAAAAAGATCGTTAAAAGTAACTTTGATTTTCAAAATTGTCCGAAAAATTAAAAGAAAAATACCGAAAGGTGCACCTCGTCAAGATGACCTCCAAACCACCTTCACCTTTGGATTTTTCAGATTTGTTTTGAATTATTTTTTAAAAATGATTTCGCTAATATTACTTTTCCGATGGACTTTCTAGTGATAAGGGTGGCTGAAAACAAAAAAGAAAGATGGCCTAGCAGTCGTCTTATTGAGGCGCACCTTCCGGTATTTTTCTTTCAATTTTTCGGCACTTCTGAAAATTGGAGTTACTTTTAACGGTCTTTTCCAGACGTTTTTAACGGCGTGACCCTCTTGTGATAACGGAATTCAAACACATGAACCACTTTGATAAAGAATGAAACACATCACCCTATCTGAAAACGAGCTCAACCACAAGTACATTTTTCGTACTTTTCCCTTCATTTTATTATACTCAAATCTCAACCACAACTCTTACTTTTTCAACCACTTTATTAATAATTGTGTCAAACCAAAACAAGACGCATGAAATGGGACGGAGGTAGTAATATATTACAAATCAAATTATATATACTATTAAACTTCAAACCAAGAATTCATATTATATAAAAAGTAAAAATCACAAAAACAAGGAAAATGTAAGACAATACCACTAAAAATAACACCAACTAAAAACATGAATAAAAACAGAGGAAGAAGAAACAAACTAAATTGTGGTAAAACCTAATTAAACAAAGAAGGAACTCGAATAAAAACAAATGACTAAGAACATGGAATCCAGCACTAAGGTTAAGTCCATTCAGAGTAACATGGAATCCAGCTATATAATAGCCTTAGTTATAAAAGGCACGAGACGACATGAGGAGTTTTGGGTCAATCTACCGGAGGTGCAAGGCGGGAGGTGAAGGCGCGCGCCTCACGGAACTTAACCTTATAACTTTATTAAAATATAATTATACTACTACATGAAACCCTCTTCCTAGAAAACGATACAACAACATCATAATCATCCAAGCCTTAGTCCCAAAAGAATTTGGGGTCAGCTAACATGAATCGATATACGAAATTGGAGCTAGAAAGATTTTTTAAAAAAAAAAGATAAAAAGATAAGGTAAAGGTAAGATAAAGATACAGGAAAAAAAAGATAAAAAGGACAAAAAAAGATAAGGAAGAAAAAAGGATAAAAAAGAAAAAGAACGTGAGATCAATCCTCCACACTTATATTCTCCCTAAACTTCGCTCTCTAAAAAGTCATACTCTCATCTAACTCAAGAATCCCTAAAAAAGTTCCTAAAAATGGTACCATCACAAAAATACCTTAGGCCATTAAAAAAGCTTATTAAACACCTTAGTAAATTGTTATAAAATAAACTGTTAATAGTAAGTTTAAATAATTAATGGTAATTGTTTTAATTAAGTGTTAAGTAATCAAGTGTTAATAATAATGAACTGTCGTATATAATTGTTATATAATAAACTATAAATAATACACAGCTAATAGTAATTTTTAACAATATTTTATATAATAAACTGTTAATAGTAATTTTTAAACATTTAATAGTAAAAGTTTTAATAAACACTTGTATAAATAATTGTTTATAATAATAAATGGTCATATATAGCTTGTTATATAATAAACATTCGGCTACTATTAGACATTTGGACTATTGGAGGGCTACTGGCTACTGCCTAACAATTAAACAATCAATAGTAATTTTTTAACAAATTGTTATATATGGTAATAAACTATTAATAGTGATTTTTAGACAATTAATAGTTATTTTTATTAAACTTTTATATAATTAATTGTTTATAATAATAAACTGTCATATATAACTGTTATATAATAAACAATAAAATAATACACAGTTAATAGTAATTTTTTATAACTGTCAGTAGCATTTATTAAACAATTAATACTAAATGTTTTAATAAGCTATTATATGATAAATTGTTAATAATAAACTGTCATTTGTAACTGCTCTGTACTCCCAGCGGTTCTCAAACATGTTCTCATTTTCCTTTTTGAGAAGTCTCATATTGAAGTTCACATTTCAAGTTTTGGAAAGTTTTTATTATAAAGTTACCCTTAAACCCTTGCTTTATTTACCTACCTTACACCCACTTCCCCCACTACACCTAATCTACTTTTTGTAAGGATATAATGGGGAAGTCAAACGCAAAAATCTAACTTTCTAAAAAACCGAATAAGTCAAAGTGAGAACTTGTTTGAGAACCCGAGGGAGTAATAAACTATCATAAACATAGTAAAACACAGTTAATATTAATTTTTTATTGAACTGTTAAAAGTAAAAATCTAAACAATCTGATTATGGAAATCATCTTTGTTATTACGAGTATTATTTAAAATAGATAAACTATTGATTGGGATTAGGGTTTAGGGCAGATTGCTATATGGTTGTTGGGGTATATTACCCCGGCCTACTACTATTCAGAGGCCCAAGGCTTCACCCCGGTATGGAGCCCAGTCGGCGAGGCCCATTTAGGCCCCTCGGGCCCATTTAGAGCCATTCAGGCCCCCTCGGCCCACTTGGGGTTGTTTCGGCCCGTTAAGGCCTTTCATGCCCATTAGGCTAGGAAGCCCCCCTCTTCTATAAATAGGAAGCAAGGCTACCATGTAAAGGGACTTTTGGGCTGGCTTCTTCCCTGCTTCTTCTTCCTCTCAAGGGAGTAGCTGGTTAGATAAGCTTACAACCTCCATTAATGGAGGTTCAATATTTGTACTATGTAAATGGTGAGGAGAGTATTAATGAGAAAGAGCGGACTTGGACATTAGCCTAAAAAGTCTCGTGGTTTTCTCCTTTTCGGGTTTCCACGTAAATATCGAGTGTTATACCAAATTATATCTATATCTATTAGTTTATGTTGGACTAAACTCAACAATGGTTATATATTTGTATTTAAATAATTTAAACTATTTGATATTAAAAATTAAAAATAAAAAGAGAAGAAAGAGTAAAAGGAGCAGAAGATAGAGAGGAGCAGAAGATAGCGGAAGCCGGAAGCATAGGGAGCGGCAGAAGATTAGAGAAGAATTAGAGTTTAATATATAATACTTGTGGAATTTCGGGAAGTGAATCGACAAAGGTCTCTCTCAAGAGTAAAGAAAGATGAGCCGATGCCCAACCCAGAGTCGCCAGGCGGACGCCTCCAAAACGCACAGAAAGCGGCAAAAGGTGAGGGATAAAGGCAAGCGCGCCTATTAGTATCTACTGTGCCCGGGACTCTGATGTGATATCCCCTTCGCCTAGCAGTGCCTTGCACGCCTTTTCCCATACATAATACATATGGAATAAGAAAGAGAGAACAGACTAATATTGACGGTTCGACCTAGTTGACTTAAAAGCCGGGTTTCAATGCTCTCCTCTGTTCCACAGGCTACTTCCACACCGCAAAATATTTTATTGAACGTACTGCATGAAACCTAATCGACGTCCCAAGATGCCTAGAAGAGTCCACGCGAATTGACCAAGCATCGCACAACTTCCCACCGCCGGGACACCTGGTCGACGCCGCCATACCAGCCATCCTTAAGGGTACTTTTGCATTTTTGCAGGGTGGTGGATTTTGTGTGGTGCCTGATAGTGGGAACCTGAGCATTTTTCTGTATGTATGTCAGTATGTGTGTATAAGAAGCGAGTCCTAAGAGAAAATTGAGAATATATTTAAGCCTTCAGCCCTTCATCACATAAAAATGGAGGGATTAGATAAGTTTTTCATGAAAAAAAACATGGTGGCTTGTACATGAAAAATGAATATGTTGAACTTTATCTGCTTCAGTTAAAGTTTCAACGTCCACCACCCATGGAACTTTAGTGGACGTTAAAATAGGACGATGGTGCAATCTTTACACGTATGATATGATGCACTTTTCATAGGTGAAGGATGCAGACTAACTTTGAGACCTTGACATGCCAAAATTTTCGCCACATTTTTCATTAAATAATCTCTTGACTCCTTCCTCCACCCCTCTTTTAAGCCCAACAAAGGCTGTTTTCCTCTTTTAACTCCTAATAAATGTCATTTATTCATAGCAAGGTTTATTTCCATTTAATATATTTCATCTGGTAGATATATCAAAAGTGGCATAGTTGTTGTAAACTTGCAACTTGTTTTTTATTCTCAGATCAATACAAGGCCTGCCATAAAAGAACAACTTCTAAGTTCTAACCTTTGAGGTTTAATGTTAATCAGGGAGAAATAATACGTGAAACCTAACCGAGAAGCATACCTCAAAGAGGACGCCTCTCACGTTTTGTTAAACTGCAAATAGATATGGCTCCTGAAAAATAGCCACACCGCAATGGGGAGCCAACTGCATGTTTGGAGAGCCAAGTTATCCAGTATGAGTTTGAAAAATAAGGGTTATTTGATAAAGACAAAAGAAGCAAGTTGTATTTCCTCAGTTCTTACTAATGATCTCATTTGCCTTACTGCCCTTACATACATGGTTGTAACTTTAGCTCTAAGGTTAGATATTAAGTAAGAAGAAGCCTGCACCTCATCCCGCTTCTCTGCATCAAAAGCATTGAAGACAGCTACAGGCATCAACATCTATGTTTCAAAAATACCATAACTGTTTAATTAAAGAATTAATAATAATTTTTTTAAGGACAATTAGGCTGACCTGTTTACCACTTCCTACTAACACATCTCAGAAGGAAGGAAAAGAAATATAAAGGGACTAAATGAATTGTATCAAGCGTTAGGCAGCCTAAACATGGCAGAACCTCAAAATGAGAGTACTACTTAAAATAGAGTGATATTCTTTACTAATTGATACATGTAAGCATGCTTATATTGGAATACACTCCAATCTCGGATTAATGGTCTGATGTATTTTGCTTTGTTCAGTGATAACCAGATTTAGTACCTGATGATGATGCAATTCCTGACATACTGCCACAAGCAAGGCTGACCAAAACAATGGAATCATCTGGCCTGGCATCAATAAAAATTCTTTAGAGCCATTATAGAAAAAGGAACAAAATATGAACAAAAAAATTATATGTCAATCAAATACTTCAGAAACATCTTAGTGCACTCATAGTTGTCATGGTGTATGGTGACAAACATTTTTCCATGGCAATGGCGCATTTATGGCGTCGCCACATGACACAAAATAAATACTAAATGTGTGAACCATAGACACTTTAAATCTATAATTCAACCACCAAAATATGAGTAAAAAAGTTGAATAACCACTTCAAAGTTCAAACCAAAACATGTGAAGAAAAAATAAGTTAAAGAAGTTTAAATAGTTTAAATTAGTCGCATACACACATCATTTGAATACCCTTTTGGACAGATTTTAGACTTTGGCTTTGCATAAGTTGCACAACTGACTGTGGATTTAAGTACGCTGGCATCTTTATATACTTCGTATTAGGGTTTCATTAATATTATGGGCTGAATGTTTAATTAGATCATTAGTAATCAAAACCATATTAACGGGCTGACTGGTTAATTAATGATCAGGTTCAATGGCCAAAAGTAACTAAAATGTTAAATTCTGTTTTAAAAGATGGAGCACATGGCATGGCGATGGCACCAATATGGCGTCGCCACATGTTTAGTCACCACCATGAAGATTTTTTGTGGCGAAGGTCCCTCATGTCATCATATGGCACATGTGACGTGCGCCACATAGCGCCGTCGACAATTATGAGTAGGGCTGGATTTGGTTTGGGAACCGAACCGAAACGTATATAACCGAAACCGAACCGATTTTTCGGTTTCTTAAATTATACTAACCGAAACCGAACCAAACTTGGTCGGGACCCAATTATTCGGAAACCGAATTTTCGGGTCAGTTTTTCGGTTTTGTGAAATAACCGAATTAATGGTATGGCATAGCCGAAAATTAAATATATACTTCATATTTTTGACTATAGAGTAGCCAATAATCAGCCTTAGGCTTTACTAGCCAACTACTCAACTACAAAAGCAAAGGGGGCAGTTATATAACGATATTTAAGGAGTGAATCCTCAATGGTATCCGGTGTGGGAATAAAGTAAGTGACGAAGAAAAATTGAAAACAAATATAAAGAAGTTCGAACAGAAGTAAAAGTGAATAACGAGTACTATGCAGCTGAGGGGATTCGAACTCGGGTGAATAAGAAGGAATGCTTTAACTAACCCACTAAGCTACGGGAGACAGTTGGTCTACCAGGGACACAAATAGTATATGTTACATATACGGTTACTAATTAAATAAAATATTTAAATAATTATTATTTTAAAAAAAGTCGGTTCGGTTCGGTTTGAACCGATTTTAAATCTCATAGAACCGTTTCCGAACCGATTAATATTCGAGTCCCGAGTTTCGGGTCCCATTCAAGTCGGTTCGGTTTCGGTTCGGTTTTTTTGTTGTTCAGTTCGGGTTTTTTCGGTTCGGTTTTCAGTTTTTCGGTTAAAAATGCCATCCCTGATTATGAGTACACTTAAAACCCAGAAACATAACTAAGATGGATAACCTGTGAATCTGCCAATATGTACGTGCAGTGTCATAAACTGAGAAGCTAATTGCCAGATTAGGACCAACACCCTGCAAAATAAATGCAAGGCACAGTCAGGAAACATTAAGGCAAAATCAGCACTTCACAGCAACAGAACAATAGTCCAGTCCACTTCTTGATACAAAAAGAAAAAGAACTAGTCATAAAACAATACCAATAGAGTTGCACCAAGTCCTCTGTAAAGGCCTCTGACCCCTTCTTCCCTTTTAATGGTATGTAATGTGTGCCATATACCTCTGTAGTATACTGTACTTGTCTGCATAACCAATAATGCTTAATGAAGGGTATCTATATAATAAAACATAAGAAATCAAAAAGAGAAAAGCTTTACGGGAGTATATCATATGAAGTCTATTTACCTGTGCTGCAAGACGTGTCCTGACAAGATCAAGAGGATATGTAACAGAAGCAGCAGTTATTCCAGACAAACCACCGCCTACAAGCCGTACACAAAGGTCTGCACTTAGGTTCTCTCCTTGACTTTGAACTCCCAACATAAACTGTAATAACTGTAACATAATTCGAAAAAAACAAAAAGGTTAAAATTTGAAGTAGTGCTCAACAAAACCCATCTAGTCTTTCTGCTATACATTAGTTAAGCAGTTTTTAGGACATGTCTACCAACATTCTTGTAGCGCTCAAATGCATAAAAGCTTATAGAGGAATAAGGAAGCCTGTGAGCAATAGTGACCAAATTTCCCTTCCAGAATGCCCTAAATCCTTCTTCACTAACAATACGGGAAGCCTCTCTCCATATGCAGGCCTTTTTCAAGTGTGCAGCATCTGTGTGCATTCCTTGCACCTATTATATAGGAATATATTCAGTACATTGCGGGGATGGGAAAACCCATCGAAAGGTGAAGGAAATGATGATAAAAACATACTTTCCAAAAAACACATCATTCACAATTTCAGAACACTAAGACAAAGTTTTCTGCTGATTAAAAAAGATTGAATCTCAAAATTTGAGATGCATGTTAAAAAAATCGAACTAGCAAATATCAGTCAAATGAATTCAGACATGATAAAACAAATAAAGAAATATCAACAGACCTTTTGAAAAAAATAACTCGAACGTATACAAGAGAAAATGACATATCACTATAACGTACAGGGAACGGATTCAGTATATGTTGATGAATAAACAAACACAAACTAAAATTAAGAACCTGAAAGAGGATAGTTAGACGAGCAAGGGGCGCCGTACATGTTTTACTCACGGCACCGGCTATGCCCCCTGCAAGAAGCTGCGATACGGTTCCGATCTGGGATTGCTGGCTGTGTCGCTGCTGCTGTTGATGGTGTTTGATCAGTTTGCGAGCGGCGCCACCATCGACTATCACCGCCCCGTGTCCTGTGTTCAGCGCCATCTGTCCTCCGCCGCCTCCTTCCACCGACACGCCGGCCCTCGCCTCTGTCTGCATCTCTAAGCTCTTGGACAGGATGAAACCTTTGCAGCTTATGCACAGCTTTTCCCAGAGCAAATGGCATGCTTGACATGTGATTCCCTCTAAACGACGACGTATGAGTGAGCTACTAATTGATGTGGGTTATACTTCCTCCGTCCCATAAAATTTTTACCACTTTCCTTTTTGTGTCGTCCCAAAAAAAAATTCTCACTTACCATTTTTGTACAATTTGTGTGGTTCACATTCATTTCACTTTTTTCTTACACAACTACAACCACACATTTCCACTTTATTCCACTTTCTTAATCTCCGTGCCAAGTCAAAGTGGGAAGAATTTTCTGAGACGGAGGGAGTAACATTTTTGGATGCCTCTATTAAATGCAAAGCCAAAATGCCTACAATAATAAAAAGTGTTGTGTTGGTATTCTAAAAAATGGAGTTTTGTTTCGAACTAATGTTAATTAATTAATTAATTATGAAAATAATGTTGGAAAAAAGTATTTATCGATCTACTGCTGGGTTTAACCATGGTCAGAAAAAGTCGCACAACGGTTGGGTGACTTATAAGTCGCCAAATGACGTGCACTTGTCGTGAGGTGCACTCAAAATAAATACAATACAACAAATATACGTAGTATATTGAAGTAAGGTTCGTATCCACGGGAAAAGAATACTTTTCTTTTATATGAATAGTAACAAGGGGGGTTTTGATTGGGTAATGAATTTAAAATGTATTTAAACACTAAGTTGAACGACTTATGTGGTTTACTTTAATAGAGATAAGGATTTGGTTTTGCTTTTATTCACTTAATGAAATGTTCGTCGATCCCGGTTATATCTTTAACTATCTTCCTCTCGAATACTCAATCGAGGATTATATCCGGTTCATCGAGGGTAGTTATTAATAACAAGACGCGTTCATTAATAAAACTTACTATCGAGTTAATATAGAACACGTGTCGTATATCAACCCGATAGTAGCAATAAAATCAAGATGAAAACGATTGAGATTGATAACCTCAACACACGCGGTTTATTGGTTTAATCAACATAATTAATCAATGATTGAGATTATTAATCATGAGACGCATGCATTAATAGTCCAAGTTTACTACCGTGAATAAACCGAATTAATAACAAGCGTATTAATCGATCAATTCTCGTAATAATTAATATATGAAACAAAACTAGTTGATCCTTTAATTAATGTTCACAATATTAATATGAAATATGAATATGAATTAATTAATACTCAAGGAAGAATATTAAAGAAGATGAATCCTACTATAGTTAATATCGAGATGTTAACTAATTTTAGTAACACTCCCCAATATTAACATAGAGGAAGAAATAACTATTACTATAACTAATGTCGAGATGTCAACTAATTGTCATCTTAGTAACACTTCCCAACATTGATATAGAAATAGTATTTAAAGGAAAAATTAATATTCAAGGAATAAAATTAAAGAGAATAACTCACAACTTACAAATTCATTAAGCTTCAAAGTAGCAAAACCAAGATGGAAGAGTTTAGTTCCTCATTTGGAGGCTAAACATGATGAAAATATAAAGAAAGAACTATTCTAGACTGAGCTTAGAAGTATATAGGAATTGATGATTTCTTTGGGAAGGAAAGAGGGGGTATTTATAGGCTTTTGGAGCATGCAGGGGTGTGTACCCGATCGGGCATCAAGGGCACCCGATCGGGTATCTTTAGTGACTTCCCGGAAGCTCGAAAAGTGGGACATACCCGATCGGGTATGTCGGTCACCCGATCGGGTATGACACTCGAACGTGATCAAATATCTTCCTGCATGTTGCCTTATCCCGGATCCGATCCGTTTTGATATTTCAACAAGGTACCTGATCGGGTATAGGTCATACCCGACCGGGTACAGACCGAAAAATCAGGATCCTCTATTTCTTTTGTGATTTTGTACCTTCCTTCCACTTTTGGGGTTCGCCAACGGTCCCTTGAGTGATCTTGGACCTGTTTGAGCTCAGAATAAACCTAATCTAAACAAATTACAAATATTTTACAAACTAAATTATTACACGAAAAGTGTGTAATTTCCAAAGTAACAATCAATCAAAACTAGTTAAAACCACAAACATAAACATGAAAATTACACGATTATCACCAAACCGTTAGGCGACGTATAAGTCGCCCAACCGTTGGACGACTTACCCCTTTCAAATGCAAAGAACGGCTAGGATGAATCATTGTTGCTGCATGTATTTTTTGAAGGATCTCGAGCATACAAGCACCACGAGAAACCATGACAAATCTGGTTGTACCACCTTCATGACATATTTGCCCAGCATCCTCATAATAGTTCCTTACCCAATGACACATGATTGGGAAGCTTGAGAAATCCATATTCTAATAACAATTCATTGTCCAACTATCATGAGTACACATCAATATACACAATTTATACACATTCAAATTTTCAATAGAAAAAACTATCAAAATTCTAATATATCCAAAAGTCAAAATTCACAAACAACTCACATTTGAATATGAAAATACCCAAATTTTGATATCTACATTCAAGTCTACATTTCAATACCCAAATTTAGCTACATTCAAATCTACCCAAATGTCAAAATACACTTTAAAATTTACAATCAATTTAAAATCAAATTTCAACATTTCATACATATCCACAGTTCACAACAACTCAATTCACAATCAATTCATAATCTAAAAATTCGAAAATTTTAACATTCAAAACACTAAGTTCAAAATGAGATGAAATGGAATTTGATTTACCTACAAGGAAGAAGAAAGAGTGTTGAAGATGAAGATGGAGGTTTGACGGAGTGAGGTCGCCGGAGATGGAGGTTCGCCGAAGCTGGAAATGGCTCGGTCATCGTTCGTCCTTCGTCCTTCGTCGCTGTGGCTTGGGGGATTTGGGGATTGGGTTTACGTTACGCAATGTTCTGTTTTGTGGCTGGCCGATATTTTTACTTAAGGAAAAGTCGCCCAACGGTTGGGCGACTTATAAGTCGTCAAACCGTTCGGCGACTTATAAGTCGCCTAACCGTTGGACGACTTACCCCGACCATGGTTAACCCAACAGTATATTGGTAAATACTTTTAACCCAACTCTATTTTCATAATTATTTAATTAATTAACATTAATACTGAAAAAAGCTCAAAAATATGAAGTGCAATTGTTTTCTTTTTAACTAATAAAAATAACTAATAAAAATGTTATGGATAAAAGTGTGATTTAGTAACTATTAGTGACTATAATTATGTTCAAAATTTATATCACAGCAACTTACATTTAGTTACAACGATGTAAACCCCCACCCCCCTTCTATAAATAGGAAGCATTGCTTCCATGTAAAAGGATGGATTTTTTGGCTCTTCTCTCCTGGGAGACTTCTCCCCCTCCCCTTACTGTTTTCTTCTTCCTCTTTTGTAGCTAGCAAATGAAGCTCCATTAATGGAGGGTTCAGCCTATGTATTATGTAATGGAATGAGGAGAGAGCATGTTAATGAGAAAGAGCGGGCTTGGACGTTAGCCTAAAAAGTCCCGTGGTTTTCTCCCTTTCCGGATTTCCACGTAAAAATAGCTAGTTTATACACTTTTATATTTATTATTCACTTTTATACCGAATCCATGATCCCTAATATCCGAAGTTATGTTGGGCTTTCGGATCTACGGGACTAACACTCAACATTGGCGCCGTCTGTGGGAAACTGTTCAAAAAGCTACATGTGTTCATAACAGTTCTAAAAATTTTGTGATACAAGAAGACGAACTGATTTCCAGCAAGAAACGAAGAAATTACGGACCCCAGTCAGCTCTGTTTGTTCAAATGACTGCTGCTACACCGAAAGAAAGATGGAAGTTTTGAAATCCTCCACTGAACATGGGAAACCGAAGGAGGATTCTATGGGAACTCCTAGATCCAGATGCAACTAGCGTTGGTGGAAGAAGCAAGAAGAATGACTGGGACCCACCAGCCCACCATCTTGATAAAAGATAAGATTAGCTGTCAACTCTCAGGAACCATGACAAACACCACTTGGTGAGTTGGTGAGGTGACATGTTCATGTTTATCAGTACAAAATAAACAGTCACTCGAACGGGAGTGCCCGAGCTATCCTCCCGAAGGAGTTCATTTACGAACTACAATAACACCTCGGGAGACAGCTTTACGTCTGAAGATAACATAGAGGATATGGTGCTGCACCCGACCGGAATTTCAGAAAGCCATCGCTATATCCTATATTCCTATCTACCGAACGGCAATTCCCGACCAGCATAATAATGTGAGCAAGAGAGCTGATAAGATACGACAGGCCGTCTCACAAGGGTGGGTGTTTAGGTGCCACTGAAGCTGCCCCTCACCTATCCCCACCCAGAGACCCTGACCATAGCTCCCGAACGGCACTTCTCACTCACCGAACATTATCTGTCATTAGAAGCTCCAACCCATCAAGGGTCAAACATGAAGATAGAAATAATCTGGCCACTCGGGATCTTGACCATATGCCAAAGTTCTGATGAACACTTCGCCAGTGTTGGACCTGCCGCTCGGCTCAAACACCTTCACACATCATGCCACCCCTCATAGTCCCAGTGTTGCTTCGACCTCCCGATCTACTCTTTAAATGCCCAATACTGCTTAAGAACGCACGAAATTGGGCAGGGCCAGCCTGATAGGAGCCATCAACATTGAGTCATCGTTCGGAGAACTAGGCCAAGATAAGCAAATCACCGAGGGGTGAGTGGGTGACGAATCCCGTTCGGTCAGAACATGAACCCAGTACCCGCATGCCACCTTTGGTAGCACGAATCCCGTTCGGTCAGAACATAGCAGATAGCTAGGGACGCAGAGCCCTGACCTTTTCGATTCAAGGAGTAAGTCTTGTTCGATCCCCATATCACCACATCAGCCTTGCCTGGGGAAGCCCAAACCGGAAGGGCTCTGAGAATTGCCGCTCGGTCGGGATAACAACTCGCGATCGGCAGGAATGACGCTCAGTCAATTTCGAGTATGCCAATAAAAGGACTTACCGAATGGGAAGTGGCAGTGGGACAGGCCATTGTTTCGCTGGGATACTAAGCCATTTTGGGCCGAGTTGGGGTCCAAGGTCTGACAGCCAGAAGAAGTCGCAGCTCGGTCTCATAAAGAATCTCCCAGATTGGCGGTTGATAGCCTGGGATGACCGGAGCAACTCAAAAGGAAACTTCCCGTACGAGACAAACCGACCACCAGGCAGGCGTCACACCGACCGGCATCCCACCGTCCGGCACCCTCTCGCTCAGTACCTGTATCTTTTCCTGGAATGGTGGACCGACAGTTGACCCTCTGCAAGCAGCATCACCTTTCAGTGGGCCGGAACTCCCTAGAATACCGTCATCGTCTTATACACCGAACAACATACCAATTTAGCATGCGATAAGGGAGCGCAGATTACCGCTCGACCTTTCCATGGCTCACACAGTCCGACCCAATACAACAACGGACGGAGATCATCCTCAACTGATTGCAGTCGTTCGGTCAACGAGGGACGAACGGGAGTGAAGGATAAGGGATTTGATACTGGCCATCCCTAATCACCGGCCAAGTCAACGGTCAGCGGAATTCCTTGCTCATATTCACTGCCGTTCGATCTGCTTGAGCAGATGATTTGCGGCTAGCTGCGAGGGGAAGAGTGATATGATCGACTAAGTGATGGCCTTGTAAAACGACAAGCATATGGGCTGGATCGCCTTTGACGATCAAATTCACCAGGCTAATAACTTGGCCTGGCAGCCGGAACTCAGCCTATTTCAGCTAAGTACCACCATTTTTTCACTTCCGAATTAATTTCAAATAACATTATTGGAAATGTTTGTATCATCATTATTTATTAGGGATTAAAATATCCCGAATTTAATAATGATCGAGCGAAGCTCTGGTGATGACTTCATCGTCATTTAGTTAAATGATTGGTTTAGTGGGCCGACCGGTCAACGTATGATCGGGGTAATAAAGCGATCGGAGTGTTCCCGTAGGGTATCACTCCGGCAACGCGTTTTTATGTGATGAAGTTCTGCTAGGCATCAAGTGCTAATACATTAAAAAAAATTAAATGTTATTAGTTGAATCACCATTATTTAGTAGGGATAAAATGTTCCTGAATTAAACAGTGTCGAGCGAAGAAGCTCCGGTGATGAAATCACTAACGTTTCAATTAAATGCTTGGTTTGACTGGGTGTATCGGTCCACCCCCGATCGGGCCAAATTAATTGGATGAAGCGTCCTCGATGACGTATTTTAAATTATGAGACTATTCATGGTCCCACTTGACAGTAAGTGCCCGAACGGCAGTTGAACCCGGTACGGGGCGAAGTACGTACCTTGATTAGTTAAAACTTTTCAGAGAACGACCCAACCAACCACTAGGTGGTTCCGGTCGTGGACTCTGGCAGTTCGAGAAATAAATCCAGGCCAAGGGTTGTTATTACCTTCTTGGCCGGTAGTCATGAACAAAAAATATAAAAGAAATGTTATACTTGTGTATATATATGCTTGTATATGTTGTTCGGCCGTACGGTCGTATTACTATGCTTATTGTGCAGTGGAATCCGTTCTATATGCTCGAGCTGGGAGATCCATGATGTTGGCATGAAGCGCGGAGACGTTCATGACCGACACAGAAATGAAGATCGAGATTCAGAAAAGGGGATCGAGATTCAGAAATGAAGATCGAGATTCAGAAAAGGGGATCGAGATTCAGAAATGAAGATCGAGATTCAGAAAAGGGGATCGAGATTCAGAAATGAAGATCGAGATTCAGAAATGAAGATCGAGATTCAGAAAAGGGGATCGAGATTCAGAAATGAAGATCGAGATTCAGAAAAGGGGATTGAGATTCAGAAATGAAGATCGAGATTCAGAAAAGGGGATCGAGATTCAGAAATGAAGATCGAGAATTCTGTGTTACCGAGTGATGTTCGGCAACACAGAAAATTTCAGCCCATGGTTAACACGCAGTCTATTCGGATGACCGAATGACGAACGGGTTAACAACATGGAAGGAAAATCATTCTCAGCTAAGAGAGTTTTGACCCTAGAATTATGAACGGATAAAGGGATCAAAACGGCTTGAAGAATCGATGCTCAGAACATCTCAGCCCATGGTTGACACGATCATTCCGGATGACCGAATGATGAACGGGTTAACAACATGGAAGGAAAATCATTCTCAGCTAAGAAAGTTTTGACCCTAGATTTATGAACGGATGAAGGGATCAAAACGGCTTGAAGAATCGATGCTCAGAAAATCGGTGCCCGTGATTAACACGATCATTCTGGATGACCGAATGAGGAACGGGTTAATTCCATGGAAGGAAAATCAATTCTCAGCTAAGGGAGTTTTTGACCCTAGATTTATGAAGGAATAAAGGGATCGAAAACGACTTGAAGAATTGAGGCTCAGAAAATCGGTGCCCGTGGTTAACTCGATCATTCCGGATGACCGAATGACGAACGAGTTAACAGCATGGAAGGAAAGTCATTCTCAGCCAACGGCTTGGAGTTTGACGCTCAGATAGTCTCACCTCAGCGGTTAATATGAGAATCGATTCTGGAAAACCGAATGACGAACATATTAGCAGTTTGGAGGGAGCCATTATTTCAGCAAGAGTTTTGACCCTGTAATTACGCATTTATGAAGGGATCAAAATGGCCTGGAGTTCGAAGGACAGTGATTCTCACCTCAGCTTGTTAACACGTAGAATCATTCTGGATGACCGAATGACGAACGGGTTAACAGCTTGGAGGGAGCTGAGTCGTCAACTTAGCCAAAGTCGACCCTGTAATTACGTACGGGCAAAGGGATCAAAACGGCTTGGAGATGGTGTCAAGACTGTAAGATATGGATTAACCGAGCGACGTTCGGATAAGGTACGGATTGTCGCCCGGGGAATCGGAACTATGGTTTTGAAAAATCTCGCCTCAGTCATAAAACTTGACTTGGAAGCGAGTCGCCCTTTTAGCTATAAGTAAGGAATGATCCAAATTCGGTGATCTTGCTTACAGTTCGAAAAGGGTTACCGCAGACCCCTAATATGGATGATACGAGCCAGAGAGAATAGTTCGGAATGCATCGGAATTATGGGTTTGGAAGGGAGATAGTCTCACCTCAGCTTGTTAACGTGTGGAATCATTCTGGATGACCGAATGACGAACAGGTTAACAGTTTGGAGGGAGCCCCTGTCCCAGCTGAGAGTTTGACCCTGTGATCACGATCAAAACGGCTTGGAGGAATTCACCTCAGCTAAGAGTTTTGAACTCGTGCGTCACGAACGAGAAAAGGGATCAAAACGGGCTCGGGGAAGGTGTCAGAACAATTATGAAGAGATAGCCTCACCTCAGCTTGTTAACGTGTGGAATCATTCTGGATGACCGAATGACGAACGGGTTAACAGTTTGGAGGGAGCCCCTGTCCCAGCTGAGAGTTTGACCCTGTGGTCACGATCAAAACGACTTGGAGGAATTCACCTCAGCTAAGAGTTTTGAACCCGTGCGTCACGAACGGAAAAGGGATCAAAACGGGCTCGGGAAAGGTGTCAGAACAATTATGAAGAGATAGCCTCACCTCAGCTTGTTAACACATGGGATCATTCCGGATGACCGAATGACGAACGGGTTAACAGTTTGGAGGGAGCCCCTGTCCCGGCTGAGAGTTTGACCCTGTGGTCACGATCAAAACGGCTTGGAGGAATTCACCTCAGCTAAGAGTTTTGAACCCGTGCGTCACGAACGGAAAAGGGATCAAAACGGGCTCGGGAAAGGTGTCAGACATAAAGATACGTGAGTCGAGTGAGGTTCGGCCACTTAGAAAGGATTGTGAACAAAAGAAAAAAAAAGAAGCAATGAAGTAACAAGATTGGGGAAAGAATCGAGTTTTGTTCTTCAAACACTACTCGCCGGAAAGTACAAAAGAGATCAAGAGTAATACAACTTGGGCAAGAGATTATGCTACTGAATGATCCCTGATCGGGGAAGATAGAGACTGAAAACTGCCAACCTGCGCCAGATCATCAGAAACTGCTTTCTGTCTTTAGTATGGGTGGCCTGGATCATTGGAACTATGGGATTGGAAGATGGCCAGTCGAGTCCATGTTTGTCGAGTCGAGTCGAGTCAAGTCCATGTTTGTCGAGTCGAGTCGAGTTAAGTCCATGTTTGTCGAGTTGAGTTGAGTTAAGTCCATGTATGTCCAGGTCAGGTCGAGTCGAGTCAGGTCCATTCCTTTCGACTATGGCAATGTAAGGACCATGACAATGACCATGGCATCGTAAGTCCATATCACGGCAAGGGCCACTTTTTATGCAGCACGAACGGGCTCCACAGCATCGTCGTGCCTGGTTCTCGGTCGGGCTCGTCCATCCTTGATCTAGGATGACGACCGCCGCTCTTATGCAGCACGAACGGGCTCCACAGCACCGTCGTGCCTGATTCTCGGTCAGGCTCGTCCATCCTTGATCTAGGATGACGACCGCCGCTCTTATGCAGCACGAACGGGCTCCATAGCACCGTCGTGCCTGATCCTCGGTCGGACTCGTCCATCCTTGATCTAGGATGACGACCGCCGCTTTATGCAGCACGAACGGGCTCCACAGCACCGTCGTGCCTGATTCTCGGTCGGGCTCGTCCATCCTTGATCTAGGATGACGACCGCCGCTTTATGCAGCACGAACGGGCTCCACAGCACCGTCGTGCCTGGTTCTCGGTCGGGCTCGTCCATCCTTGATCTAGGATGACGACCGCCGCTCTTATGCAGCACGAACGGGCTCCACAGCACCGTCGTGTCTGATTCTCGGTCGGGCTCGTCCATCCTTGATCTAGGATGACGACCGCCGCTTTATGCAGCATGAACGGCTGGCTCATCAGCGCCGTCGTGCCTTCTTTTTTATCAGGCTCGTCGATTCCTTAATCTAGGATGGCGAGCGTCACTTATTATGCAACACGAGCGACATGCTCTACAGCGTCGTCGTGCCTAGTGCGGGATTGCACCTCACTTATGGATTATGCATGCCTTGCGCCCAAGATTATTCAAAGACTGATTCAGGGATGGCAGAAAAGGGCGCGAGCAAGAGTATACTTTCTCGAGTAGATTTGCAAGCTCACTACTCAAGAAACTGGGGGACTTGTATTGGGGAATATTATCCCGACCTATCACTGTTCAGAGGCCCAAGTCATCACCCGGTATGAAGCCCGGTCAGCAAGGCCCATTTAGGCCTACCCGGCCCGTCTTCGGCATAACCGGCCCGCTAGGATAGGAATTGGGCCCATTAAGGCCCAACCGGCCTGCTGGCCCATAAGAGTAAACCCCCACCCCCTTCTATAAATAGGAAGCATTGCTTCCATGTAAAAGGATGGATTTTTTGGCTCTTCTCTCCTGGGAGACTTCTCCCCCTCCCCTTACTGTTTTCTTCTTCCTCTTTTGTAGCTAGCAAATGAAGCTCCATTAATGGAGGGTTCAGCCTATGTATTATGTGATGGAATGAGGAGAGGGCATGTTAATGAGAAAGAGCGGGCTTGGACGTTAGCCTAAAAAGTCCCGTGGTTTTCTCCCTTTCCGGGTTTCCACGTAAAAATAGCTAGTTTATACACTTTTATATTTATTATTCACTTTTATACCGAATCCATGATCCCTAATATCCGAAGTTATGTTGGGCTTTCGGGTCTACGGGACTAAAACTCAACGGTATCTATTACTCACTACTCATTCAATATGTTTCATTGTTTATTTATAATGTGCATACACATTTTGAATTATATGACTCATAGCATAACTCTTACGAAGAATAAGATATCAGCCATAATGTATATATCAACGAAGGCATATAATGGTTTTTCAAAATGCGTGTGTCTGTTAAAATTACATATGTGTGACAGAGCAAGTAATGCTTTTTTATTCCACTAAATTATCATTTATATCTTATATCCTTGTCTGCAGTAATATCACCGACTTACTATGATGGTCCTATTTATTTATGGCAGCTAGTTATAATCTATCTATTATTAATATATTGTTATTCTTATTATATTCTAATTATATTATTAGTATTACACGTAGTATGATATTGTTAATATATATTATTATAGATTGTTCTTCTTCTTCTTCTTATTTATATTATTATTATTATTATTATATTATATTATATTATATTATATTATATTATATTATATTATATTATTATTATTATATTATTATTATTATTATTATCATTGTTGTTATTATTGTTATTATTATTGTTATTACTATTGTTATTACTGTTATTATTATTATTATTATTATTATTGTTGTTGTTGTTGTTGTTGTTATTATTATTATTATTATTATTACCACTATTCTTGATGTTGTTATTTCTACTATAATTATTAATACTCTAACTGTAGTCATTATTATTATATTAATATCAATAATAATTTGCTTTACCACTTATTTTAATTAACCATATATTAATGGGAAATGGAATTTAATAATCTGACCTTTGCACGGTCTTCATTTAACGGTCCGTCTTATTGAAAATCCATTAAAAATCCCAGCTTTGCCTATCATATTCCCTAATCAATCCGGACCTGAGATTTACCGGATGCAGCACATTTTATATTTATAACTACCGGTAACCTTAATTTATTGCCCGACCCATCTACCTCCTCGTTGCCAGACAGATCCTCCTCCCTCTTCGCTTGGTTGGTCTTCCTTCTCCCCAATATTTCTCACGTCGTTCTTGACCTAGCTATCTTCCTTCATCGTCTTCTTAACTGATTTCCTTCTGATTTTTTTCCTGTGTGTATGTTGGCAGGGAAAATGAAGCCACATGCTTTTGGATCCTCATCGACAACATGTAGTAAAGGTGTAGATTCAACAATTAACTGTCACCACAATATAAAATCTGTTTTGAGAGTTCTTAAAAATGGGTTGAATGTGGGAAGGAAGTTTCATGAGTGCTCTTTATGGCCAGTAAGTTTTCATTATGACTGTGTAGATGAAATTAAAGAGGAGGAAGAATTAGGATTTAAATCCAGTGTTTGTTTGGTGATTGTTTAGCTAGAAATTGACCTTGTTCTTTGTGTGCATCACGATGAAAACTGTCATTTCTTCATATGGGAACATAGTATACAAACACATTCATTAGTTGCTTTTGAAAATGGCAACATATCAGAGAAGCCGAGAATGAGAACTGACCTATTAATCACAAGCCGAAAATGGCAACATATCACCTTGTTCTTTGTGCGCATCACCTATTAATCGTCCTCCTCTAGAGCCTCTACCTCCTTTAATCACCATCCCCCTCTTTCCTATCCTATTAGGTTGTGTTGTGGCACTAAGATGTGTAGGTGACAATGTTGTTGATGATGAAGGTTGTGTAGCTTTTCCATCATTCCTTGGCCGACCCCTAACTTTCTTAACTTGAGGTTCTTGGACCACATTTGCATCTCTATTTGGACACCTCTGCTTGTTATGACCTTTGGTGTGACAAATGCTACAAGTAATTTCCATACCATGTTTAGTCAGCTTCCCACTCTTCTTAGGATCTTCAAATGGGTCTTTTTTCCTATTCACTCTTGGTCTGTCATGCCCTATTTTAATAGGAGGATATAAAGGACACTCTATCCTCCTCCGGTGCCTCTCACATGCATAAGGGGGTATAGACCCTGCATATGCTCTTAAATACACCTCCCTCTTATAACATCCTTCTACATAGTCCTCTCGTTCATGATGAAGGAAAAAGATGCAAGCTATATGGCATGACAACATGGTATACCTGACATATCCCATCGTCTACACGGTATACCTGACAACATGGTATACCTAACATATCCCATCGTCTACAAGTTAGGGACCTGTCCAAGGTGTTCCTAGTGTTCTCAAGGAGTTGAGAAGTGGTCGGAAAAGTCACATAAGCTCGCCGGATATTCGCATGAGGTCAATCGAAGAGGCCAGTGCTTCATAAGCTTCATTTAAGGTGAGATGACAACTTTATGACTTATAACTTTTGGTTTAAGAGTGAGAGTACCTAAGGTAATAAAAAATGTGTTTTATGAAATGATTAAATGCATCTATGTGTGTGTTATGCCATGATTTAGTATGAGTGTTGCTGAAGAGTATGCTAATTGTGCTCGATTAGGATAAAATATGATCATATAATATGCATGTATGATGTTCTAGGGGTCCAAAATGGGTTTTTAAGATTAAGAATGACTTGTTGTACAAGTGTATAAAATTTTGTGGCAATCGGATTTCGTTTGAGCAGTCAAACGGGCATTGACCACTAGGTCAAAGCTCTCACCCAATCGAGTATGGGTGATACCCGACCGGGTATCACTCAAAAGTGAGTTTTCAAATCCACTGTCCAAAAGACCCAATCAGGTATATGGAGGGGTACCGGATCGAGTATCACTCCAAAGTGAGATTTGACCCACTATAGGAAAGATTCGCTCGGGTATGGATGGGTACCCGACCAGGTATACATGTTAAACACCTCATATGAGGGTTTTTGGGTAGCCTAATGTGGACCGTTCGTATTAAACCTGTCCATGATGGGTAATTGGGGTGTAATTAGTGACTATAGGGCTAAGTATTGTCTATAGATGAACGAATGAAATGGTAACCATATCCAGGTTAGGATTGTGGTAGGAAAGGTTGGGGTAGAGCATCCTTGGGTGGTAAATGACCCTTAATACTCCTAGTTGGGGTGAGTACCATTGGATGGTAAATGACCCTAAATACTCCACGTTGGGGTAGAGTACCCTTGGGCGATAAATGATCCTAAATATTGCAGGTTGGGGCAGAGTACCCTTGGACAGTAAATGATCATAAGTACTCCAGATTGCGGTAGAGTACCCTTGAGTGCTAAATGATCCTAGATACTCCAGGTTGGGGTGAGTGACCTTGGGGCGGCAAAATGACCCTTAACACTCCATGGAATATACGGATGTAGGAAATAGATTGCGGGCTAGACATTCGTGGGGAGTATGGGAAAGGTTGAGCAAATCTTAATTTCTCTAAATGTTTAATAAGGAAAATGACCTATGGGTCGGTTATATTACAAGTATATATGGTATGTATCATCTTGTGGATGTGGGTAATAGTGGTTACACTTATAAGTATACGGATCACCCTATTTTTGATAAACAATTTGATCAAAAGAGGACGACCTAAACAATTCAAAGAAACATCACCAACATGTCAAACGTGGATTGAGTATCATTAGCAATACTAACACAAGTGGGACCATAATGCATAATCTTATTAACTTGTATACCTTCATAGGAAATCATATGAGTAGATTCTCCAAAGTCAGTGTACCATATAGCTTCATCCACCTTTACGGTGGAAGAAACGAGTGCTGGTGCAGAGTTATGAGAAAACCGAATGGAGAAACAAATTTGGCAAATAGTGGGTGGGGGCCAGGTATGGACCTAAGAAATCCCTCATCAGATGGAAAGTCTGATTAATACCTAAAGTGCGTGGTTTAGCACGCGTCCTTGCATCCCCTGTCGAGCCATGCCCGTCGGTGTGCAGGAGTTGACCAATCATGTAATAAGAAGAAGACTGAGATGATGGCCAGAAAAGTGATCATGTACGGTCGAGCTTCTAACATGCTTCCGAGTGTTTAACATCATGAACATTAACCAAAGCATTAAGGGAGAGGATAACAAACGACCAAGATCTAATAGTTTGATCTATTTTCAGCCACTGATAATATTTTGTATTAACAATATTGTGATTATTCTGAACGTAATCATATATATGGAGAGTACCTGAATAGAGTTATCAAACATGCCTAAAAGGCCATGAGATACTCGAAAGGACTCGAACTGTGTTCTATATGACATATAATCTTCCACGACACAAAGTTTGGTCATCAAAATATGGGTAACATTAGGAGAGGAGTGAGATAACATTTGACCAGCGCAGCCATTGGAGATGTGAACTACAAAAGTTCTAAGCTTGACCGATGGAGAGGAGACGAACTATAAATGCCCGGTGAACCAGTGCAAGTCGAACCATGAAATTGGAGTTCACCCAACAGAGATCTTTCTCGGAATAGGGGATGAGTCACCAGATATGTTGGATTCCAGAAGAAACGAGTAAAGAGAGAGTGAAACGCGCCAAAAGAGAGCAATCAGAAGACATGCCCCATAATTAATGGAGGTAAGGGTCATTAGATGACCGGTGAGGAGGCCGAGTCGACACCATGAGGGAGGCTGCACTAAGTAGAGTAGATACTTTAGATGAGATAGAAGAGTAACACTAAGGGGTTGCTACACTCTCTGTTAGTGCACTAACAGAGAGGTGGTGGCGCGGTGTTGACCATGTTGGTCAACTATTTGGGATGCGTGACGGCAGAAACTTGTGAGCTCTAGATATCATGTGAGATAATAGAACATGTTACCCCAATAAGAGTCATGATAGATACATTTATAAAAGAGATCAATAATACAATTACAAAAATGCCCATAGTATAATACATTATAAAACCTACACTTTTTAGCATCTCCCGCCAAACATACATGTTTTTGTCAAACACCCATTTTCATTTATTTCAACATTTCATGGATACCAAAGCTCATTGATTCTTTGAGTTTGGCGTGCTCATTTTCAAAGAAGAAATAAGTTTCTTGAGAGAGCATGTCATTAATTCTTAGCACTTGTACGGGGCAAATTCGTTTTAAAGATAAAGGTGTGCGTTGTGACCCATGCCTCAACTTACCATTGATATACTCCATGATGCGAAATAATGTCAAGTTCTTTATTATTACTGCATTTTTTTCATTTTAAAATAATTTCATACTACGTATTATTCATTTTAATATACTTAATATAATACTAGTAATTTTTATTCTAACCGATTGAATATTAAAATACAATTCTATTAATTAATATTCATATGGCACTGTACTATAGCCATAATGTTTTAATACTTCCTTCGTTCCTTAATAGTTGCAACATTGAGATTTTTGCGTTATTCACAAATTTTACTTTGATCACAATATTCTACTAATATATATATATATATATATATATATATATATATATCAAATTATTATGGATAAAATGTTATCAAATTTCTAGTAATGTAAATATCCAAAATATTAACTTTCTATAATGTTTACTAATATGTAATTAAATATAATTACAGTTTCTTTCCTTTTCTTTCTCGCATTGTACTTCCCTATTTTTCAATAAAAGTCCCCATTTTGATTAAAAAAATACTAGAAATGTGCTTCTCCATTACAAAAGCCTAAATGTTAAGTTTGATTCTTCATTGGATAGATCTCACTTACAACTATCTAACATTCAATTGTTGACATGATGTAAAATTGGAATTAATGATCTAAATTGATGAATTGGGTTCTACTCAAAAATCACAAGTTGCTCTCACCAAATCTACAAAAGACAAAGGAAAATAGTGTAAATACACAAGTGAAAAGAAAAAAAGATGAATACTTTAAAAATAAAACAATATATATAGAGAGTACAACAACAACAACATCCAAGCTTTAGTCCAAAAAGATATTGGGATCGGCTAACATGAATCGATACATGATATCACCACCAAAAGGAAAAGAAAGAAAATAAAGATAAAAAAGATAGGGAAAACTGTCAGATAAGCCCTTCTACTTTGTACGGAAAGTCAATTAAGCCCCTCTACTCTAAATTCGTTCATTTCAGTCCACGAAGTCTAAAAAACAACCAATTAGGCCGTTTGGAAGGTTACCAACCGGTAACCCCGTTCACTGCTTATGTGGCAGCCTAAGTGGCAGTTTTTTAGTTGGCTGAGTAAGTTGACATGTCAAATATTTTTAAAGATGCAATGGGAGTATATTAAAAATTAAAAAACTAAACCCTAAAGGACGAAGTTCTACTCTGGGTCGTAACAGTCGTCGTCTTCCGAGTCTTCTTCCTCCCTGGGTCGTAACAGTCGTCGTCTTCGAACGAAAGCAGATGGCATCTTCATCCGCATCTACTGCCACTAAAGGACGAAGTTCTACTCTTTTGTATGAACCGCCTGTGTATTGCCTTTGTGGATTGAAATCCCCCTTGTGTGTTGTACGCGAAACAGGGAGAAGTTTTTATGGTTATCAAAAATGGAAGGTAATTCTTTCGCCATTGTATTCATTCTTTCGCCATTGTAAGCGAAACAGGGAGAAGTATTAATTCTTCGAATTCGGTTTTTAAAAAGATGGGAGTGTTAAAGTTGTTGTTTGTTGTTAAATTTTGAGGGTAAACAATTCCCCCATTGTCAATTTAATGTTCCCTTTAATGTTTGAACATCCCTGACATTCCATTCCAGGTTAACATGGGATGTGGATTTTTCTTGTGGAAGGATGATGTAGAGATAAGAGGCACACATCATGGAGAAGAGATGAAGACAAAAGCAGACAATGTGAGGTTCATGACTACTGCAATGGTTGAACAAAGGGCTGTACAAGGACAGATTGCTTATCTTACAAAGCTACTTGAAAATGAAGCCAAGGAAAACAAAAAATTTAGGCAATCAGTTGCTTTTGTTTTCATTGCTGTAGTTGCTTTTGTTGGTATGTTGTATATGCACTTCAACACAAAAAAATGCATATATTAGTGGTTGTAGTAGTGTGTTGTAATCTGGTGTGTTGTAATCTGGTGTGTTGTAATGCAAATTTAGGCAATCAGTTGCTTTTGTTTTCATTTGGTCTGTAATGACAGTTTTTCATTGCTAATGTAGTACTTATTGATGACCATTTAGCACTTTCCATTGTTAATATAGTAAAACTTTTCATCCTTTGTTGACTTTTGGTACAATTTGATGGGCTGAATTGAAGATGAATTAAACATTAAACGGATCCCAACATTAAATATATATGTACCTGTTATAGTAAAAAACAGCTTCATAGTAAAGGTGAATGGGTTGAATTGAACATGATTGTACATCCAAAAACCAACACTGATTTGAGAACTTAAAAGCATGAGTTCTGGCCCACATATACCATACGTACAAGCAACTTTATAGCCAATATTCACCCCAAAAAGCTCACAAAGTTGAGCCAAACATACTGCCAACAACATGTTCAAGCCAAACTACCACCACACATTACTTATCCAACAAAACAACTAAGTCTTTACATCTCATTACATAAAAGCCATCAAGCAAAACAAAAAGTCTTTACATCTTCATCACCCATCCAGCAAAAAAACCAGAAGACTTTCCATCCTGCAACCTTCATTTGCCCTTTATCTTCATCATCCATTCAGTACTGTTTCACTTGGCTGCCCAGGCTGAAATGAGGTAACACCACATTTGAATATACAAATTTACAACAAATTCCAGCACAACAACATTGAAGTAGACAGATTTTAACTTACATCAAGAAGGGTTTCACCAGTGTTGTGATTGTAGTACATACCAAAACCACTTTGTTGTCTTCCCCTCCCTCCTCCTCTAGTAGATCTACCCTGCCTTGCACCTCTTCTTCTCGGATTAGATCTTGGTATTTCTTCAGTAGGTGTGTTTTTATTAGTACAAGAAGACTTATTATGTCCTTCCCCTTTACAATTGGAACATTTCATAACCCTTCCCTTTCTTGTAAGCTGTGAACCAGATGAGGGTGCTTCAGATGCTTCCCGGATTCTCTTCTTCTTTGGGCGTCCACTCATCTTCTTTGGCACAGGAGGCAGAATATCTTCATGCTGAGTTCGTGGCCATAACAACTCTCCATTAATTGGTGGAAGAGTGTATGAATAAGTTCTCTGGTAGAATTCCTTAGAGTAGCAGTTGTCCACATATTGTTCCGGATTTTGGCCATTATCAAAAATGGCACATATGGCATGCACACAAGGTATTCCAGACAAATTCCACCTCCTACAGGAACATGTTTTACCATTCAGACTGACCTTGAATTGTTGTTTTCCCTTTTTAATTTCATAGCCATCGTCCCCGTTGAAATCCACATTCCATCCTTGGCTAGCTAAAATGTTTTTGTTCAATTTATTCATAATCACAGGTCCAAATTGTCCTGCCAATGTTAATTATTGGACTGAAATTATGCCAACCAGAATATAAAGGGAATTAATTATCCATTACCAATTGAAGTAAATATTATACCTGACCACTTTTTGACATATTTCCTTTTTTGGCAATCCTTTTCATCATTGCAACTCTAATGTCCTCTAGCATTGGAATAATAGGTTTTCCTCTGCATTTGAGAAGGGTGCTGTTGAAGGCCTCTGATAAGTTGTTCTCAACAGTATCACATTTCACATCCGTTCTAAAATATGCCTTGCACCATAATTTGAAATCAATTTTGCGCAAGTCTTTACCAGCATCACTATCTGCCTTATCCAACTCCGCTAATGCAGCCTGCAATTGTTCCTCGCAAGTGGACTTTGCACACATCCAGAACAGGTTCTTTAGAAGCAAACCTCTGTGGGTTTTGCTCCAATTCGCATGAATGTGTCTAGCACAATTTCGGTGCTCAGCCTCTGGGAAAACCCTTGCAATCACATTACAAAGACCCTGCAGTGCCAAGATATATGTAATTAACAGTCATAACAGCTGATATTGTAAGCTTAAATCATTAAATGTATATATAATGTTACTTACCTTTTGTTGGTCACTTATGATAGTCCACAAATCTGACCTAGTGATTTGCAGATCAGTTTTCAGAAGCTCTAGAAACCAGGCCCATGACGAGTTGTTTTCAATCTCAACTACCGCCCATGCAATGGGGTACATTTGGTTATTGGCATCTCTACCTACTGCTGATAGTATCTCCCCTTTCAGTTGACCTTTAAGAAAGCACCCATCTAGTCCAACAACCTTCCTACAACCTTCAAGAAACCCTTTTTTAACCGGTCCGAAGCACACATATATGCGTTGAAATATAGAGGGAGAATCAGGAACTACTCTTGTAGTATGAATGACCATTGTACTGTCAGGAATAGACTGTAGGCATTCCTCTGCGTAGTTTCTGATTTTTTTGAATTGCTCTTTCCAATCTGTTTGGGTTTTCTTTTGAATAATCCTCAGAGCCCTGGTAGCCATACTGGTAGAAACGTGTATTTTGAGCTCAGCTTTAACCAGTTTCTTCAGCTCCAATGCAGTCATAGTAGGATCATCAACAACCTTATCCTCAAACTTTTCTGCAATCCATTTCTGACTAACTATCCCCAACTTATACTTCAAATTGCATTGATGTTCTTGGTTGAAAACCGACACTTGAAAGCACTTCAATCTCTCAACCCATGTACCAGTACAAGAAAAAGAACATGTACCACCACATTTCACCCAGACTCTGTGTGGCTCATTTTTGGCAAATTTTATATCTTTTCTCATGCACAGCATATCTAACAAGAGCACTCTTGAATTGTGTACCATCTTCAAAATACATTCCCACCTGTATGTTAGGAGGCTCACAATCAGGATTATAAGTACAAAAGTGTTCTCTAGGTTGGTCATGTATTTCTGGTTCACCATTGTAGCTTCTTGGATTCGATGAGTCATACTCAACACTGTCTTCCCCTTCTGAGGTGTCACTTTTAGTTTTGTATTCCTCCTCTGCATCATGTGATGTTAACCCTTCACTCGTTTGGTCCACATCTGCATGATCACCTATAACAGGTTCTTCATCATGTTGGGGTACATGTTTACCATTGGCATTCGTAGTTGGCACAGGTAATAGAGGAATTTCAACTAATTCAGCCTCATCAAGACTGTGATGTACATAAATCTCACACTTCCCACACCTTGTACCCATATATATCAGATCTAGGGTTGTTGCATCATTGAACAATTCATGTAACATCTCCATTGGTTGTTCTGGTGTTTTGTAATACAGCCCACAAATGTTCCCATATGATCCTGATTTTAGAGACTTCATCAGATGAGTATAGCTTATGAAATCAGGATCTACTTTAATGATGTCCACTTCACCACCTACGTACATCGTAGAAGGAGTACTAACAAAGTTCCCTCCATGGTGAATAATGAGCTCGACCCTGTCAAACATGCTGTACAAAACAACCAATGAATCACTTCAAGGAAAAAATCACTACTCAAATTACGGGGAAAATGTTTAAACACACACACTACCAATCAATTCCACTTAATCGTGTATACAAACAGAGTTGGACAAACAGCGAATCCGACCAAGCAAATACATGTAAAAATGTGTGGGGTTGTATAAAAGTAGAGTTCGAATATTACCTGTGAGGTTGTACTAAATCCGACCACTCAAACAGATGTTGGTTGTGCTTCACTTCTGGTAAGGACCATTTCAATGGCGTCGTTCTTCTTCACTGAGAGCTGAATGGCGTCGCTGGCAACATTGAAACATTAGGGCTTAATTTGAAATGTTTAGGGTTTAGTTTTTTAATTTTTAATATACTCCCATTGCATCTTTAAAAATATTTGACATGTCAACTTACTCAGCCAACTAAAAAACTGCCACTTAGGCTGCCACATAAGCAGTGAACGGGGTTACCGGTTGGTAACCTTCCAAACGGCCTAATTGGTTGTTTTTTAGACTTCGTGGACTGAAATGAATGAATTTAGAGTAGGGGGGCTTAATTGACTTTCCGTACAAAGTAGAAGGGCTTATTTGACAGTTTTTCCAAAAAGATAAGCTATTATAAAAAGATAATATAAAAAGAGATGAATATACATAAAAATGATAAAATAAAAAGGATACAAATAATGCTTATATATAAGGATAAAAAACAAGGAAAAAAAGATAGAGGGAAAAAGATGATACGAGATCACTCCTCCACATGAATACCCGCCTTCCACTAAGCTCTTTCCAAAGTCATGCCCTCATCCAACCCCAGAAGAAGCATATCACTTCGAACTCTCCTAACCCACGTCTGTTTGGGTCTTCCTCTCCCTCTCTTCCCTGTCTCTTCTCAACACATCTCAACTCGTGTGACAAGTGCATCACTCGGTCTTCTACACACATGACCAAACCATCGTAGGCGCGACTCCCGCATCTTGTCTTCAATAAGTGTTACTCCCACCCTTTGTCTGATTGTCTCATTCCTCACGCGGTTCTTCCTAATATGCCCACACATCCAACGCAGCATGTGCATCTCTGTCACACTCATCTTTTGAATGTGACATTATTTCACCGCCCAACACTCTACGCCATACAGTAATGAAGGCCTAATTGTTGTCCTATAAAATTTACCCTTCAGTCTATATGTCATACATCGATCGCATAGAAATCCTGACGCATTCTTCCACTTCATCCACCCTGTTATGATTCTATGGGATACATCTCCATCTAACGCACCGTCCTTCTGAATTATGGAGCCCAAGTAACGGAACATAGCGCCGACTGGTATCTCCTTACCATCCAGAGTAATTCCGCTATTACCACTGCTTCTACCTCCACCAAACTTGCACTCCATGTACTCTGTCTTGCTCCGACTTAGTTTGAAACCCTTATTCTCCAATGTTTGTCGCCATACTTCCAACTTTGATTTAAGACCTGATTGTGTCTCATCAATCAATACAATATCGTCAACAAACATCATGCACCTCGGTATATCATCTTGAATTGACTTCGTAAGTTCATCCATGTCTATGGCAAATAAGAAAGGGCTCAGAGCCGATCCTTGGTGCACTCCGATAGTAATAGGGATCTCTTCAGTATTTCACGGACCTGGTCATGACGAAAAGATCATGACAACATTGACAAGTATCCTACTTCTTTCTTTCATGTAGGAACATCACCCTTCTGCCAGTGACGATAGTGAATGGTTGGCTCGGCACAACTTGGTTGAGTAATCCAAAAACCTACTTTTAGAACTTTCGGGTGTGCTTTAACAGGAATTCTAAAAATGGAAGAAGAAACATCCTCAATGACATAACAGTCAAGTACAAGTTTACAAGTGATAATCTCAGAGAGAGCAAGTTAACAAATGAACAATAAGTGAACATGATAAGTGTAAGTGGAACATACTACATAATAAATCCTACAACAATGTCTTTTAGGGGAATGTTTTATGTGCACAAATCCACCAGTATGTATACTACCGTACTGTCCGTACACATCAGACATGCACAAGCAAAACATTAGCTCGCACCGACACACCGACAAATAATATGTGCACGTGCAAAACAAATTGATCGATGTATGTGAGAACAATTCTTTTGTTTGAGACGGTATCGACCCCATTACCCTATTAGTATACATACATACACACACACATACACACAGAGGACACACACACACACCGTTCGGCCTCCGCCTTTTGGGGCTGTTCTCGATGGTATTTTTTGCTGAAATCTTTTTTGTATGTTCTTCATCAAGTCTAGTTTATCCACACCAAATTTCGGCTAAAAATTCAATCAGGAAGGCAGTCAAATGATTTTTGGAAGACAACTGCGTTTTATATGTATATTTTGGCGCAGTTATCTTCCAAAAATTATTTGACTGCCTTCCCGATTGAATTTTTGCTGAAATTTGGTGTGGATAAACTAGATTTGATGAAAAACATACACAAAAAAAATCACCAAAATATACCACCGGGAGCCACCCCAAACAGCGGAGGCCAGGCGGGACTCCTGTCCGGACCGGCCGGACAGGAATATTCCTGTGTATATATATAACTCTTGATCTCTGCAAGCTGCTGTCACTATATAGTTCAGCGGTTAATTGGCTGCAAGACGGAACATTGCTCTTGACCCTCCACCACACTTGCTTTTGGAGCTCGAGAATCCGAGCTTTTGTTGGAAATGGAGGCAAAAGCTTCCAGAGGATTCCCACAGGTAGTAGTGGTCTTCATCTTATTATTAGCTTCACTTCCAAGGTAGTTTGACAGTGCTCTTTTCACTCCCAGGCCACGCCTCAGGATCTTAGCAGTGCTGCCACCAAGGAACGGCGTTACCTCTCCTCCCCTGGCCGGGCTGAGCAGTGGCAGAACTGGCGAAAGGGTAGGATTGGAAAATGTTGATCTAAATGGGGCTGAAGAAGAAGCAGAAAAAACTTTTCTGTGTACAATGCTATTATCAGATTGCTTTGTTATATCATCCACAAAGATCAGATCGTCAATCCGTGCCACAATATTGAAAGCCAGACTCTCCAACACTCTTGAATAGCTCTCCAGAATTGACTTCCCCACATCCTGATGATGAAACAATGGAATTAAAATAATAATTACTGCGTATAAGAAACAGTGATGGATTTCATGATTGAGTTTCTGGTTGTGTCCATGAAAATAACATGTGGAGAATGTTATCCAAGATAACAAGGTGTCCTATACTGCTTTGTTTTTTTAAATAATCTAATAATGGTTGAGCCATAAAAATAGAAAATATAAAACAATACGGAGTATGTGGAAAACAACTTCCTGTTTTAAAAAAAGGGAGTTATTTTCCACAAAAAGTCATAAGGTGTGCTTGGAACTAGGGAATTCCACAGAAAGAAAAATAGGGAGGAAAGCATTTTGGGAAATTTGAAATGAAAGAAAATATAGAAGAAGTTGAGAATATAAAAAATTGGTTCTACCTCAATAAATCACAATTTCATATATTTACTCAAACTTATATATATATATATATATATTAATGAAGATTTAATGATAGAATACAGAAAATAATGATAGAATACAGAAAAAAATTGGGAGTGTGAGACTCTTCACGTGGTCTCACACTCCCAAATTCCCAATCTCGATCCCAAAGTTCTACCTCCCCATCTCCTCACCACTCACACTTATTTATTCTATTTCTAATGGGCCAGCCCACTTTTATTTAGTTATAGAACCTAAAACCCTATTATTGAACAAATTAAAATTACTTAATAAGACTTTAATTATTGGTAGTGTCCAGGTCCCTAACATCACTCCACCCTTGAACTTCCACCTTGTCCTCAAGGTGGATGATAAGAGACTGAGGATGTTTTTACTTGGACTGTAATTTGGTGGTCTGGTCTGATCTGGTCTGGTCTGGTCTGGTTTCTTTGTATTTTTATAACTATCCAAGTCTGGTCTGGTCTGGTACGAATTACAGTCCAAGTAAAAACATCCTGATTTGGCATTTCGTTTCAGCATGTTGTCAGCTTCATCCGTTCATATAGCTGATCTTCTGTTCCCTTCTCTTCTTCGGGCTCTTTCATCAAGATAAATTGATAATGTTATGTTATTTGCTCCATTTGTTTACACATTTAAAGCATAAGCCCTTTTTACTTCTTTTTTTTAACTCTAGTTAGGTCAACCTTTGGCCTCCCTCCCATGTGTTATTTGGTTTTGGTGATTCCATTAGTTTGTTCTCCGAATGTGTTCTCTCTAGAGTCAAAGCAGGTCTTCTTCTCTTTGTTGCTTCCACCCAGTTCAAGGATCTAACCATTTTCCTTCCCTATTCCTTCCAGCCTTTTTTGTCTTCTTCTTTATTTTTTTCTCCCTTCCACACTTGTTCTTCTACTCAAACAACAAAGCCCTGTCCATCAGTTCAGTTAACCCACTGGCTGGTACAACTTTAGCTCCGTGCTAATTTCTTCTTTAAGGTCATTAAGAAACACTCCCTTTAAAATCCCTTGGTTAGCAAGTTTGAGAGGACCTACAATCATTTCAAAGTGATCCCGGTACTCCATCAAAGAATCAGTTTGCCCAATACTGAGCATAGGACCAAACGAGTTCTGTACTAAGGCAGGTTGGAAAGCCTCTTCGAAGTTAACCCAAGAATGGTCAGCTGTCTATTCATCCCACCATTGGTACCAGTTCAGAGCTTTTACGGCCATAGCTATAAAGATTATTTCTACTTTATCCTCTTCTGCCTGTTGAGTTTGAAATAGCATTCAACCCTGATAAGCCATCCATAAGCATCATCTCCACTAAGAAGTGGTAAATCGACCTTTCTTCCAGTATATACACGATCGCTGATTCTCATGTGATCAAGGTTACGTGAAACTGAGCGAGTTTCGTGAGATTTACCTTCAGATCTGGAGGATCTCACGCTTGCGGAAGTTTGGCGTCGACGGTTTGTAGTTGATCATCCTCTTCTCTTCCCGCGATTGCCTTGGGTCTCGAGACTTTGCATCTTCTCTAACAGCATCTGCATCCGTTCATCCATCATTGATTGCATCTCAGCGCGCATATCGGTCATAGATCGCTCTAGTGATAGGAATCGGGCCCATTAGACTAAAAATAATAACAACAATAAATGTAGAGACTTTGTCTTAGACTGGGAAGTTAGAGCTCTGTCTCTTTCTTTTGGGGGGCTTCGGCTCATCTGGGGGCTTCGGCCATTTGTTACTATTATTGTTCATCTTTTCTAATGAAGTTCGGTTTGATTTTTTGATCTCTTTCTGTAATTGTTCTGGATTCTTGGAGGTTTCTATCATTGGTATCAGAGCACGTAGATTCTGTGGATGGTATTGATGCGTATGAAGATGGATTTATGGATGAACGAACTGGAGGAAAACCAAAAGAGATTGAGGGAAACATTTGAGAGAAATCAACAACAGATGAAGGCGATGCTTAAGACGATACAGGCTACGATCGCGAAATTGGCGGAGCAAGACCAAAGTCGTTCGCGAAACAATTCGCACCCTTCACATACGTCGCATCGTTCTTCGCATCATGGAAACGCGAGAAGTTCCGCTAGAGCAAATGGATCAGAGAAAATTCCAAGTATTTTGTTTCGCACCAAGAGCAGAAGCTTCACAAGAGACAGGGAGATCGATCGAGGAGTAGGCATCATCCGCTATTGCGAGATCCTTCTGAGAATTCGCAGACTTCCTCACCGGCCATCTGTTCACATCCAAGAAAGGCGCGATTGAGAGGAGGATCTTCTTCTTCGCCTGAGGATCTTAACTGTTCGTTTTCTTCGTCTAAAGTCACCTCTCGGAATTCAGCTAGTTCTAAGACGGAAGAATTACCGCTGTTCAACGAGGATGAAGTATACGATTGGATAGATAGGATGGAAAAATACTTTCGAATCCAAGCTATTGCAGAAAAATTCAAATTGAACGTTGCAGAAGAGGCTATGGGGGAAGCCACATGTGGCTGGTTTCAATGGTGGTGGGAATATCAAAAGAGAGAAGATAGTTGAAAGGCTCTAAAGGAAGACTTGATTAGGGATTTTCCACCTAAACACCGGCAGAAGACAGGGAGGACAGAAAAACAGGTATCATCAAGGTCGCCAAGAACTCCTCTTAGCACACGAGTTTCTCAACGTGCGCAAGAATTTTCCCAGTCAATAAAGAAGTACCAGATGGAACCAACTGAACATGTAATCAAACAAATGAATAATAGAGACGAAATCAAGGACGAAATCAAGGAGAAAAAACAGGTTATTCAATGGCCAGATTATGTTTCTACTAGTCTTGTAGTCGATGTGGATTTAATTCCCAGCCAAGTTTCTATTATTGATCTGCTTATCCAACCATGTTCCTTTGGAAATAGAGTCCTAATGACTTCTGAAACTAGTACAGAGACTCAGGAGGAGGAGGTTGAGATTGTTTCAGGAGAATCTGCTATTATATGGGGAAACCACTCACAGATTCAGGATGATGACAAGCCTAGCCATTTCCAACACCTTGGCAGAAATTCACTGCAACTTGCAACTCTAAATATCAAAGACCTAGCAGGTTCTTTACCTGCTGAGGTATCCAAATGGGTACAAGTATGGTGGGCAAAGTCTTCAGGGTTTGGTACAATATTGCAGCCAGGGGTTGAGAGCATGTTAGGCTACTCCCAGCTTGACTTACATAATTCATTTAAAGCACCTGGAAATTATCTCATGTTGGAAGACATCTCTGCAAAGACAGCTCTAATCTTTCCGGTTTTTGAATTCATCATAAGGTTAATACAAAGAATGACCCTTAAGAATTACCAGCAAGCTCTAGGCGAAGTTGTTGATACATCAAAATTTTCAAAGAATCTCTATGGTGATCCGTTCCATTCTATGGCAAGATTTTCTGGAATGCCAGGAAATTACCTGGGACAGAACAACCCTGGTTTTCATTGGACTTATGATCCTTTGGTAATTGTTATTTCTTCTGATTTTGCATTGGAACTTTCTGATTTTCAGCTGATGGGTGCATTATCCAAAGAAAAAAGGCCTAATCTTAAAGTTGACAGCAGGGTGTGCAGTATAATGGAACAAATGTTACTTCGGGGTCATGATGTGGGAATACAATTGGAGATTGTTGAAGTCTTAAACTCAGAAAGAGAAATACTGCATGACTCAAGTTCTCTTAAACTTTCTTCTGACCTGATTGTTGAAGTTCTGTATGAGCTATACAGTGTGAAGTCTCACTCAAGAGATAGGATGAAATCAGAGGCAAATGCTTTGCTAAGGCTGATCAAGGATTTTTCATCTAGAGGACTAGAAGTATGGGAACTGCTGATACCGCCATCAGCGAGGTAGTGGGAAGGGAGAGGAACCCGGAGGAAGCTGAATTCCAAGCTTGGTTCCTATCTCCCCACCTTGAGGACAAGGTGGATGTTTAGGGGAGGAGTATTGATAAGAATCAGACTCATTAGACTAAGAATATAAATAATCTTTGCTTAAATGTAAAGAGAGTATAAATAGCTTGGAAAGGGGAGTTAGTAGGGAGGCTGTTTAGACTTTGTCTTAGACTGGGAAGCTAAAGCTCTGTCTCTTTCTTTTGGGGGCTTCGGTCATTTGTTACTATTACTGTTCATCTTTTCTAATGAAGTTCAGTTTGATTTCTTGATCTCTTTCTGTAATTGTTCTGGATTCTTGGAGGTTTCTATCATCCAGCAATATCTCCAGATTATTTATCCGCTGCTCCATGTTCTATCGAATGAGGACCATATAAAGGTGCAGCAATCGTAGGCTCTTGGCTTGGAGAATCGGAAGCATAGCACCGCAAAGAAGAAAGAGACGGACTGTAGCAGGGTGTAAATGTGTAATATATACGAACTGCAAAATGGAGGTTTTCGCGGTTGAATACTGCAAGAATCGATGCTCTTGATTCTTGAAAACGGTAGACGGAGAGTTTGAACGGTTAGACCCGTGATGGATATTAGCCGCAAAGAAAACATGAACGGAGTTTGACGGATATTATATAAGCAAAGATATAAGAGAATGTTCAGGTCGGAATGTTCGGACCTGAGGGGCCGTCCGAACACCGCCGTTAGGGGCGGTTCCCGGTGGAATTTTTTGATGAAATTTTTATGGTATATTTCTTCATCAAATCTAGTTTATCCATATCAAATTTCAGCTCAAAATTTGATCTGGAAAGCCTTCAAATGATTTTTTGAAGTTGACTGCGTTTTTCTATGTATAATTTGGCGCAGTCAACTTCAAAAAATCATTTGAAGGGCTTCCCGATCGAATTTTGACCTAAAAATTTGGTATGGATAAACTAGACTTGATTAAGAACATACTATAAAAATTCATCAAAAAATTCCATCGGGAACCGCCCCGAACGGCGGTGTTCGGACAGTGCCTCTTGTCCGAACGTTCAGACAGGATAAGTTCTCTCTCTCTCTCAACCTATTTATTTATATATTTCTGTTATATAAAGACTAACAGATATATGAATTTGTCAAAAAAACTAAATATTTGAAAGAACTTAAAGTTTTAACTTTTCCTTTGTATTTCCCACGGTGAAGTCAAACTTCAAAAATCATATTCCTTAACCATTTTTATTTCTTTATATTCTCAACCATTTTCTGAGTTCTAAACATACGTGGACCTGATACCCTACTTCGGTTGTACTAGGTTCGATTCCAGACTGCGACCGTACTTTTGGTCTTCTAGTCGGTCACAGAACTGGGTGAAAAAATTTGATGAACATGTTTTTAGATTTGAAAATGTAAAAAACTAAAAAATTAAATCAGAAAATTGGAGATACAAAAACTGGAAAATGAAAACATAAAATAGGAATAGAAAACTAGAAAATATCTCTGTTAGTAATCAGGCTCTAATAGTTCCTGGAAAGTATTTCATTTGAGGAATCATGAAACACTTTCCTATTAAAAATCAGAGCCTAAGAATGGAAAAGGAAGGGAGGCTATACAAGAGGACAACCTTGTTATACTGAATCTTGGTGGCATCCAAGGTGGTTTGGGTCAGATTGGGAAACCTTTGTTTCAAAGAAAGCAAGAGGTTTTCTGCTCTCTGTGCAAGTAAATCCCTTTTGTCTCCATCAACCACTAGATCTTTAACAATATCCCAAGAAGATTTGGGTGTTGAACGGTTGGTATGAGTTGGGGGTCTAGTGTGATGGTGGTGTCTTCTACGCCAAACATACATTGCAGCCTCCACTCGATTTGCCATCTCCAGAGCCATATGTTCAGAAGTCAGGTCAAGGCAATCCAGCAGACACTCCGAGGAGAAGTTATCTGACGTGATGTAGCGATAAACCACCTCTCCTAAGCATGCTCTCCCATTCTATAAATCAAGACACTCATTCATAAACATTACAAAGATGAAATGAATCATAAAGATGAAGAAAACATGTTAAAGAGGTTTACCACATAGGTGACATACACTTACCTTTGGAAGAGCATCTAAGTAGGAATGGGGAACTTCCATCTCCGCTAAAGTAGAGCCGTTAATCGCCATTACAGCTTTAAGGATTTGGCTCGTGCATTCGCGTTTGTGATCTAGTTGTTTTCTTGTGGAAAGAGAGAGACCACCTGGTGGAACCCTTGGCACTGGCAACCACCACTTTTCTTCTTGTCGCGTGACTGTCGCCTCCTTTATGAAAGAGGCTGATGACCCATCCTTCTCTCTGCCACCGACGCCTTTGTCCACATACCAAAACTCGGTGCTTGTGAAACTATCTACAATTTCCTGCACCATTTTATTGGATTTTATCATCAGATAGATATTCTCTGCGGGTAATAGATGAGGGAGAGGCAAGAAGGTAAGTTAGGCCTTACAATGAGCATTGTGTCAAGCTTCTTGAGTGCTGGAAGGTTAATAAATATATCTAGCCTTGGCCTGCTACACATTACCTGAAAACACAATAGGTGTTCACCAAAATATCAGTTATTTTTTCAAGCCTGTGAACTTAAGTGTCAGATAGAAATGAATTAGCACTGTGATCAACTACACATTAGCAGCAACTTCTACTATACACACTCTTGCTCACTTTGGTCCTCACCTTCTGTTTGGGCTAGATCTGCCACTGAACTATGGAGCTTTGACCCAAGTCACGTGCATAGTTGGTAAAATAAGAAGGGTTCTAAATTTTGACCTCATTTAGTCCAAATATGTAATTTGGACCCAATTTAGTTCCTGAGGTACAAAAATACACTTCTTGATAAAAACAACAGTGCATGCGGGATTACATTTAGTCGGGGGTCAAATTGAGTACAAGTGAAAGTTGAGCACCAAATTGAGTAATAGTTTGTACTAGAGGGGCTAAATAGGGTATTAATTTAATGTAACACTACTTCTCTTTAAGTATTACTATCCTCCGTCCCCCTAACTTTGGTACATAAGGAGGTGATGCGGTTATTAAGGAAATAGAATTTATGGTCGGTATTGAATTGATACAGTAAGAACGGTTTAGAACCATAGAAACATTACCAAATTCGGTATGAGACAATCTCAGTGGGATGGATCAAAAAGGAAAGATGGGATAATCTTAGCGGGACGGAAGGAATTTACAACGAGTAGCCTGAGACAGTGAGTGAAACCGTTGATATTCATTCTAAAAGAGTCCACACACAGAGAGGAAGGGAGAGAGAGACCTCAAGCTTACTTCCATCAGGAAGTGTTTGCCAGGAAGGTATTAATTCAACAATATGATCACTAACAGCAACAAACCATTCCATCTCTCTTCGCCACATGGATATCTTTTCTGGGGGAAATGGCTCCAGCCTCCAGAACTGTCCAAATACAGTGGCTGAGACAAATATATGCATGTGTTACTAACATTAAAGTCCGGTTATCATCACTAATAATAATTACGAACAAGACCCAATTCAATTTCATCAATATTAAGAGAAAACTAATCCTGTCAAAACACCAAGTGATTAAAGAATAATCATAATAAAAAGGAGAGAGTATGTTTACAGATTACTTACCACAAAGATTAGTTATGCCATTTGAAATGGCTAATGCCGTTGGAACTCCTTTCCCACAGCCAGACATATCTTCACCAAGCAACAATTTTGAAAATCTCTCTTTCATCATCTCCATTTCTGCTTAAGTACGAACAGTTAAATTCAGAACAAATCAAAAGTCAACTACCAGGTACAAATTCGTTTAGATTTTCAACAAAAGTATTTACAAGAAATCGGTACATCATACCAATCTTCTTTTTATCAAGAAAAAGAGAAGGGGGCAACCTGGGTTTTTCGAGTTAAGCTTCTTCAACTGGGAATGATCTCCATCGTCTTGTTCATTAGCCTGGCCATGCATCTCTTTCTCTGCTACGCCTTTCCTCAAACACTTGGTAGTTAGGGCCTTCCGGATGGGCCAACCCAGAGGTGACTGCGGAAAATAGTTCTCCTTCTGTTTACTCTCGTCGGATGAGGAATCTGAATCACTAGATCCCCTGGAACTCGAGTCGATCAGTGACTCTGACATATTAGACCCGTCTCTCCTCTTGCTCATCTTCTTCTAAGCTCGACTCTCCACTTCTCAAAATGACTCCAACTTTCCTCAAAACTTCAATTAAGTAACACTAACTCAACGAAGTCAAGCTAGCTGAGATGCTAGTTTTAACCCATCAAGAATCTTGCTTTACAAAGTTCAAATCTTTCAGTGGATTACATAAAAATGATGGGAGTATGGAGCTAGGATATTGGGTGTGTGTGTCTGTGTTTGGGATGATATGGGACTGCCTTAAGCCAAGATTTAAAATCTGGGGTAAACTGCCTTTAGCCACATCCCAACGTCTCTCTCCCATTTTTTTGAAAACAATTAAACAATGGCTTTGGACGTCATAGCCGTAGAGGAGACGGATTTGTCAACCATTTGGGAACTGTACTTTTACCCTTGGAAGCCAATAGTCACGGAAAATGGCAAATGTTTTTATTTTTAAGGTTTATAAAAGGGAAAGTTCCCGAAATAAGACTAAAATAGTTTGAAATTCCAAAATAAGACTGTCATATTTTTTGTTCCGAAAATAGGAGTAATTACTGGCATTTTAGAAAAAACTGCCATGTTTGAAGTTTGGTACTGCCAAAACATGACAGTAATTAGTCTTATTTTGGAAATAAAAACATGTCGGTCTTGTTTTGGAATTTTCAAACTTTTTAGTCATATTTCGGGTAATATTCTCTTTATAAAAAGAAAACAATAATAGTACATTTTTTCAATACACCTTTTGTACCCTCCCCAGTTTTGTGGATATCTATAGACACTTAGCACTGGAGCTAAAAATCTATAGTCGAGGGAATCAGGCTTTGAAAATTTTACATTTCGAAAGCCAAAATTTAAAATATTAATATATTTTATATAGATTAAAAGTATTTATTCATGATATATACTTGAGATTTTTTTTTTGCGGGGCTGAGTCCCCTCCGGCCTCTCCCTGTCTCCACCCTTGCACTTAGGGTTTGTTTGCAAACGCTTAAAAAACGATTCCGGACTTTTGGTTCAAAAAGGCTAATATTAGTGTTCTCAGGTGACAATTTCTACTCAAAAAGCGTTTCTCGGTTTTTGGTTGAAAAGTGCGTTTTACTTTTTCTATTACACAAAAGGCACATATTTTACCAAACACTACCAACTTTTACTTTTTAAAATCATTTTTTCTCAAAAACTATCAACTTTTACTATTACTAAAATGTTCCAAAATCACTTCGAAAAAGTGCTTTTTTAAAGCAAAAACATTTGCAAACACTCCCTAACCAGTTCGTAACAAAAAAAAGCAATTTATATTTTTTAACCTAGTGCAAACCATCCGAGGATGGGGTAAGGGCCGGGGAACACCCTATCTATTTATTAATAAGGAAAGATACACAGTAGGAACCAAGCCTACCAAGAAAATTGCTAGAGTGCATACGGGTAGCTAATAGCTTAGCATCAAATTTGAGAATGTCAACAAAATGATTAAAGTGATTTTGTGATCTTTTTATCTGGATCTTTTTTTTTGACAAAACAAAAAATTTATTGTAGAATTAAAGGAAAGATTACAGTGCGCAAATAAGAAAAAAACAGAGAAAAAAAGTACAAAAGGGAAGGCAAAGATAGAAAATAAAATAAAAATAGCTAGGCCCAAGGGAAAGGCTTAGATTGTGATCTAGTCCGCATGCTATGTCTCCGTTTGTTCTGTTGTGTTTTGCGGTAGATTTTGAGTTGAGTATTCAGATTATCTGTTGGAAGACAAGTGTCCTGACTGATAAACTGAGATTTATGACAAATCTCTCTGTTGAAGTTGGAGTCCCAAATGTCGTCCCTATTGGAAATTGGTGGTCGACGATCGCTTTCTATAGCGTGCTCTAGAAAGTCGTCTGAAAGATATGAGTCATCTGATGGATTGAAGGTGTCTGAGACGTTTGAGTAAACCTGATTTAGAGGAAGTTTGGAGTGATTCTATGGAGATTGAAACTTTTGTTTCTCAACGTAGGCTCCCTGAATTTGAGAATTGAAAATAAGTTTGGAAATTGATGTGATTTCCTCTACATGCTGTGGACTCGTGCTCCAGATTCATCGGTTCCTCCTGCATCGATTCAGAATATCCTACAAATTTTGCAAAAATATCAAGAAATCTTAGGAGTATGAAGTTTTTTGGGGCCGTTGGAATCAAGATGAAACTTCCCTTTTCTTTAGCAATTTTAAAGAAACCGCCTGATTTGTTGAATTTTGAGGAAATCCTGATAGGTCCGAATCTTCTTTGATGTCGATAAGTTTGGTCTGGTCTTGTGAGCTGAGTGATAAAACGGATGATTTTTGCACAAAAAGTTCAATGATTTTTATTACAAGTTATAAGTACAATTTAGATCCCCCGTTTGCAGGAGCAATTACCCGTTGATCTCGTATGTGTCAACATGTTGTTTCGAAGGGCACATGAAGCGAGCGTTGATATTGAGGTTCACTTTATTCATCTTAAGTTGATTAATACTCCCTCTGTTCCAAACTGCTTGTATCACTTTCTTTTTCAAGTTGTTCCAAAATATTTGCCTCACTTATTTTAAAGTAAATGTGAGCTTCCTTTGAAAATTGACGATAACACACCAGTGAAACAACAAATGAAATAAGTCACTATCTAGACGAAGTTGCCAGTCATGAAGGATAGCATTGAACTATTGAAGCATCGTCCCTACCGGTAAAGTATAAAATAGTAAACGAGTAAATTACTCTATAACATCACGGGATATTAAAGTGTGATTACTACCATACTAGTTACTACCGTAGTTAAAGTGTGAGACAATTTTTTTGGAACGAATGGAGTATTATTTACTACCTTACTAGTTACTACCTTAGTTACATGCATGAATTTCGTTAAAAAAAATAATTTGTATAATCATTTGATGTCAGGATTGTTAGTCCCTTTACATCTCAAACGTCATCTAAAAAAACTTTTGAGTTCTGACTTGCATATCTGATGTACAGTGCAGGTCAATTAGTGGTGAATAAATGTCCCTATTAATACTAACAAGAAATTATATTGCAATTGCTTTATTGACCAATACAAGCTAAGGTATACTCTCCAAATTGTATTAAGTAATTAAAACTTTCAGTTGACATTTTTAAGTCATTGTTTTCTTTACTTTTATGGAGTTTATCATGTAGCCATTCTTGGCTGGAGGACCTTTGTGTTGCAAGCATTTGCAATGATAGGCCTGGGTATACTGGTGAGACTTAATGCCATTCCTCCTGTTTTATTGCTATCATAAGGCAGTTAAAGTAGTACATAAACTTATTTTCTTATGCTTGTTTTAACTTTATTTCATTTTTGGTTATAAAATACGCACATGCTGGTACATGGAAACTCTAATACACAAATACGGGTACAGATGGACCCGGGCCGGTCAGGGGCAGGCCCAGGCGGGATTTTTCTGTATTGTTGAGACCCGGAACCGGCTCGGATAGCAACCGGGTCGGGTCGGGCTACCCGACCGGGTACCGGGCCGGGTCGGGCTATATTTTTTTAAGCTGTTTGCAAATTAATTGAAGAATCGGTGGATATAAAAAAGTTAAAGTATATTTATTTGAAAAATGTAGTACAATTGAGAATTGAGAAAATTTTAAAATAAGAAATACATTTTCTAATAAATAATAATCAATGGGAATCTCCGTCATCTTCGGTTGTTTCCTCCATAAAGTGGCGGGTGGGAGCGATGCTCACTTCTTGAGTTCTACATTGGGCCTTCAACCAATCGTGGAAGTAAACAATCGTCTCAAGAGAGTGTGCTCAATCTCGTTATATAATCTGTTAGCACGTTGTTGGCCGCACTAAATTCTTGTTCCACAGCAACTGTTGAAACTGGCATTGCTAGAACTTGCTTAGCCATCTTTGATAAAAGTGGGAACATTCTTTCCTTTTCCTTACACTTATATTTAATACTCCCTCCGTTCCTAAAAATTCTCCCCGGTTTGACTTGGCACGCTTATTAAGAAAGTGGAATAAAGTGGAAATGCATGGTTGTGGTTGTGTAAGAAAAAGGTAAAATGAATGTAAGCCACACAAATTGTCCAAAATGGGAAAGTGGGAAGTATTTTTGGGAACAACCCAAAAAGGAAAGTGGGAAGTGTTTTTTGGGAACGGAGGGAGTACTTTGACACACACACACACACACACACAAATATATATATATATATATAATATGTATTTATAAGTAGATAATAAGTATATAAGTAGATATAATAATTGTTTAACTAATATATAATATAATGTTTATTGTATATAATATATAACTATATTACTATAAGATGAGTAATACACTTATATTTAATACTTTAATATATATAAGTATATATTAAGTAGATAATAAATTTTAGTAATATAATATATGTATTTATAAGTAGATAATTTATATATAAGTAGATATAATAATTGTATAAATATATGTAGAGAGAATTGGAGAATATGAAGATGAAGATGATTAAGAGTATTAGAGAATAGAGAGTAGGAAGAGTTGGAGAATAGGTGTATGTTGAGGGTAAATCCCGTAGATCCGAAAGCCCAACACGAACTTTGAATATATCAGGAATGGCACAGAATCAAGGTGTGTAACAAATATAAGATCTGACCTAACTAACACTCGAAAGCTCACTTGTATTAATTAACCAATCTGATTACAAGGAATTTCCCGATCGGTAGGTCGGAAACTATGCTTTAATACAAGAAATAAGAGCAATGATGCTATTCTAGAGCCTGAGTATTGAAATGCTAACCCTTACAATGACTTGAAAACCTTCTATTTATACTAATGGAGAGCATGAGTTGCCCCATGCTGATTGGCCATTGTTCCACCGACGTGGTCATCCATGCTTCCACTTGCTGATGTCACCGTCTGACATTAATTGCACCTGGCCACTTGCTGGTTGGCCGTTGCTCGAACGGGATATTGGACTGTACTGAAGATACTGTCAAATTGGCCCAAGTATGATATATAGTCCGAACTCCGTTCGGTATGTCTTCTTACTGGACCAACCTTTGTTTGGGCCGAACTCCGTTCGGTATGTCTTCTTACTGGATCTATTCATCATAGAGTGATGGGCCCGTTGCTTGGGCCGGATATCTTGGGCCTTCCCGATCTGGGTATTGGGCCTCTAGGTCAATATCCCAACACAAGTCCCTCACTTCCGATGTCTTGAACGATAGTGAGTGCATTAGGAAGTATATCAATGTTATAATACCCCGAATGGCGATCGGGGTACAGAAGTAATCAGTTCCCCATGCTGTGATTTGACGGCTGCCGCTTCATTTCCCCATATTCATCATGATAACCGTCGTTTAGTTTTTTCATTAAACACGTGTTTAGCTTAAATGCCCCTTGTGACGTGTCGCTCTCTGATTGGTTCTTGACACGGCGGTTTCAAGGCTATAAATTAGCCTTTAACTTCTCAATTCCGGGTT